ATGTTCAAGTATGGGCGGCCGTTGAACCAACCCTCCCATTTCACAATCGGGGATTTGCAAGAAACATCGAGTTGCTGCGGAAGTCTAAGGAAGACTGCCAAGCCGATGCAAGCTTGTGGAAGTCGGCGAATGGCGCAGCTGATTCATTTCACCATGACGTTGACGGATTTGAGCCGCCAAATTTTGCTTCTGATGGCGACGAGAACGATGAATGCTTTCAACTGCAGGATGAGACTTTTAACACCGAGACGTTGATCGCCGCCTATCACTCCATCAGGAAAGCATGGCATCGAGAGACGCTGGTCACTGGACGCCGGATTCCTCCCTTGCTCCGCGCCATAACCCCAGTGCGAAGCTTGCTACTACAGAGCCTCCGGCCGCTGGATATCTTTCATACTCCTGCATACGAAACATCTGGCCTAAAGTACCTCCCACCATCCACTTTACAAGCGTGGGAGGTTCACCTGAAAAGTTTCGCCAATCTTGATCATGGGCAAAGCACAGATCGTAATGCCACCAGCTCTAACTTCGCACTCGACGATTTCGACATCCAGATTGAAGATGGCATCTTGGAACCTACACTGGTTGGCTCATACACGGTCCCTGCTATGGATGACCTCCAGTCCCGGGTTGACCAGAGTCCCACTGGCGCCTCTCTGGCGTCCCTGGTCGTTGAAGTGATTCCCCTAAATCAGAAACAGCTAATGGTCGTGGAGAGGGTGCTATCTGAAGCTTTGGCCTGGGCGGACCATCCTTATGACTCAGCGCAACGCAAACAGACCCTCCTGTATGTCGGGGGTGAAGGGGGCACGGGTAAGAGCCAGATCATCAAGGCAATTGATGCCGGTATGAACCTTATCGGACGAAAACACGAGGTAATCCTCATGGCCCCAACGGGTGCAGCGGCCGATAACATTGGCGGGAATACGTACCACACATCTTTAGGGATCTCTATCGACCGCTCACGGGGAACTGCGATGACATCTCGAGTTAGACGACTCTGGTCTCGCAAGACCATCATGTTCGTGGACGAAGTAAGCATGATGGATCTGACCATGATCAAAGTCATTGATAATCACTGCAAGATCGCCAAATCCCTCGATAGATCCTCCACTGATCTTTTCGGTGGGCTTCCTGTCGTCATCTTCATCGGTGACTTTTTCCAGTTTCCACCTGTTCGGGGACCGGCCCTATGGAAGGAGCCTAGAAGGGGTAGAGATGAGGATGAGAACGGTCGGCTCCTCTGGCATCAGTTCAAACAGGTAATCATCTTGGATGAGCAAATGAGACAATCAGAAGATGCTCCGTTTCGTGATCTCCTTTCACGAGCGAGGACAGGAACTTTGACAGAAGCCGATCGAGCCTTTCTTAACAGCAAAACTATCACGTCCCTGGTCAGCCCGCTGTTGGAAGACGCCACCACTGTCGTGAAGTTAAACTCTCTGCGTCACCAGGTAAACCGCGTTCGAATTGAGCAATTCGCGCGGACCCGGTGTCAGAATGTATATGTCTTTCCTGCGCTTCATACGCGGACCAGGTCTACTGGTCCTATCAACCTGCGGCTTCGTGCAGACGACTTGCTCCAGCAACCGGACCAAGGAACCAAAATCCCTTTTCCCGGACTCTTTCTCTACACCCCAAATATGCCTGCCGTTGTACTGACCAACATCTGCACCCTGCTCGGCCTGGTTAATGGCGCAGCGGGGACTGCTGTAGGAGTCGTGTTAGATCCGGCCGGTATGTTGATCTTTCGTAAACAGTGATGAAACCATCCTCTTGACACCTCCCCACTAGCTGAATTCTTTGAAATCGACGACCTCTATATCATGTGCACCAAGCCACCTGCCTGCATTTTATTCAAACCAGACAGACCAAGACCCACTGCATTTCAAGACCTTGAACCTTCCATCGTGCCAGTCTTTCCATTAGAGCGATCTATCACTATGAAGGGCTATTCGGTCCGAAGAAAGCAGGTTCCCATGTGCCCAGCGTTCTGCCTCACCGACTACAAAGTTCAAGGCTCGACTCTTGCAGCTGCGATCCTAGACCTTAAAGATGACCCCACCATCCGGGGGCAAGATCGCCATCGGAAGTATTGCTCGCTATATGTGCAGCTATCCCGGCTTCGATCCTCCAAAGGACTTCATCTTCTGCAGAAACTCGAAATAGAAGACCTTCGATTCGGACCCGATCCTCGGCTGTTGACTGAAATGCAAAGACTTCAAGAGCTCGAGAAGGAAACGATTGCTGCATGGCAGGGAAATTGAAACATACAAGCAACTCTTCACTAAAGGGTCCTTTTGCAGATATATTCTATTCTGCATCGATACTCATCCAATCACACGTTACGCCACAGGACAACGTGAGGTGGCTTGCATACAATTAGCGTATCCTAGCGAACGTTCGTGTAACTTTCCGGCACCTTACCAAATCCAAACTTTCAATGTTCATGACATCTGTAAATTCTTCCTCATTTCCCCCGGTTTCGTTTCAGGGCCACAGCGTGCGGTAGCGCGCGTCACCAGTTTCTATGTGATCTTGCTCCTGGGAAGCATATGTGTAATGCTTCCTATTGGTTGCACGTGACTCCTGCAGGTGTCGTCTTTCTTGCGGGTTTGGTTGGCTGTCGTTATCCCCCGCGGGTTTCTGACGGTCTGCCTCGTAACAACCCTACGCCACACTTTGCTACGTCACTCGGTATGTATATAATTAGCTGGTCCTACGTTAGCGGACATCCGTGTGAACCTTTCCGGTGCGTTATCAAAACTAATAGTTCAATATGCGACAGCGCGCGTCACCAGTTTACAAACCACGATCAGCAGCTAACCTGGATAGAGACTAATGTATTTTATGATAGGGTTGGAAAATTACTTTCTGAGTGAACGCGGGGGAATCTGATTTCGAATATGGCAGTAAAGGAAAAGGAATAAGGTAAAAATTGATATAGAAAATTTGAATCCCCATAGCCAAGCTAGATTCATCTTCAGCTAAGCTTGCAGAAACTGTCCGCTAATCCTCCTAGGCCTTGGTGCCGCTTAAAATAATGTGGCTGCTCCGTATACTGTAATGAAACTATTGAGTTTAAACACGTGAGCTCACCACCCTGAATTTTTCGACTCCGCTGTGTACTTATCTTTGTCTTTTATAAGTCAATTTCCACACGGAGGGCGGCCTTTTAACGAGTTGGTTATGCATGTTGCTCTGGTTGGGCCAGGCGCAAAAAGCGTTCTGCAACACGCCGTAATATCGTTTTGTGATACCGGAGCTGCCACAACAGTAATAGGGACTAGTGAAATCACTAGTTCAAAAAGGATCCATTTGTTGAGAATATTCATGTTGTTAATATAGAATTCTCACGTATCAAGGCAACTAAATTCATGGATTAGAAGCAGAAGGAGAGCATAACTTTATAGTTATTAGCATTTTTATAAAGTTCATTCACTAGGTGGCAACTATTATAATGAGTGGCAAAACCTGTAGTGTAGAACATCTAGTATTGACGTCAGTGTACTATAATATGATGTTAAGGGCTCTAGACACTGCCTGACACGGAAAGGGGCATATGAACCAAAATTGTACATATTGTCTACCCTTCCCAGTAAATAATCTCATTTCTAACTCACAATAATATATCGAGGGGCAAAGCCTTACGGTATTCGTATCCAAAACTATTAAGGCGATTTTTTTTTTCGACTTTTTGCCATAATTCTCATTTATGAAGCTGCCCATAAATGAGGGACAAAATGGAAAGTGACTTTCAATAAGATGAGGAACCGCGGTTGATAGAAACGCTGGGCGAATCTCGCCCAAGGTTGCGGTTGCATATGATCGACATACGTAATACCGTGTACCCGAAACTAGCGGCGGTCATCGGGTTCCGATGATACAGTGACGCAGCAAATGTTTTAACACCCTTGGACAGACCGCTTTTGAGACCGCCTATTGTAGACCGAAGAGCAAGTTTATGATATCTTACTTTTTAAACATTCTTGTTTCAGTAGGTGTTTTTCATAGAAGGTATGGTTCATTCAATACACAAAAGCCAAGTGTTTTATTAAGAAACCAGTAAAGAGTGTTGAAAAAATCGAATTTTTGACTGGCAGAAACTAAAAAATCAGAGGGGTGTTAAAACTAGTACTAGAGCAGTCACCGTAGTTCGCGTCACAATTATGCCACAGTAGTTGTTGGTTGAGCCGCTAAGACGGAGCAGAAACAGTCAGTTACCATAGGTCAAAGTGTACAGCGGCATTTTGGCTCATGTGCCCATGTCTGTACCTTCATCACTGGGCAGCTGCGCCAGTGTCCGTACATATTATAAACGGGATGTATTTGTCCATGTATGTTGAGCCAGCCGAAGGGGGTTCTCTCTCTGGTGTATCGTGGGCACTATGTGATGCAGACCAAATTCTGTAACGAACCTCCCGAATATAAAGGTACGTGGGAAACCTTCATCAACCGTAGAGTTTTCTTATCCGAATGCGCTGCGCGAGGAACCAAGCGTTCTTGTCTTCAACGGACATGAGGCCGCCCTGACACAACAAAAAGCCTATCAAAACTACCTTGGACGAGACGAGGTCCAATACAGCCTTCCAGAATTAAAAGCCCCTTCCTCGCAACGGTACCACCTAAGACAAAATGACATGTTAGCAGTCCGCGGCCCGGGTATTCCTTAATATCGACAATAGCAATTGAATGGCTAGGTTTCGCTTAGATTAGAATTTCTCTATTGCTAAATCCACGAGTACCTACAGATCATGACTTAATGCGCTAAGGTCGGCTTTACCGGAAACTGCACAGTCCAAATTCTGTGATGCATCGGTTCGGGAGTTTTTGTGGGGTTGGGGCGGGGGGAGTGTGGAGAGTGGAAGCTTGGTATAACCCTTGCCTGTTTGGGCCTATTAGGCCTAGGATAACCCTGTACCCCTGAGCATAATCTAACGTATTTGCAATACTCCGTACAGCCCACGATCCCCATCGGGTCTTCAATTTTTCTTTTTCCTTTTTTCCTTCTTTTTCCCCCCTTCTTTTATTCCTTTTCCTTTTCTTTTTACTTTTGGTTTTTTTGTTACTCTTACCCGTTCGCGGTGTCTCACGTCCGTGTACTCTGTACTCCATATGTTTCCTACCCGTGGCCGCTTATCATTCAATACATGTCGCTCCGGCATTGATATTTTTACCGCCTTGGATCCCCCTTTCTCGCACCCATCCTTCCTACAAATGTTTTGCTTTCAGAGTATCTCCTTCATGATCTCAAAGCACCCAATTCTCAGTACACAAGCACCTCAAATGTCTTATCTACCGCCAGGATGGACCCTGGAGCGACTTCAAACCGCAACAGTCGATGATCTGCGCCAAATACCGGAAGATGTAATGCAAACATTTAATATTTCTCCTGCCAAAAACAAGAGAAATAAATTGCTAATTCTCTGAGTCATTTAGAGACTCCATAAGATTGACGACAATTTATTTCCCATCGAGAATGTTCCAGTCCGGTTAGTCATTGGCCGCGCAATTCATAACGAACACCGACGAAAAGTACGCGCGGAGCGCGGCCTGCCACCTGCCCCCAGCATGCCGCTTTTTGAAAAGAATGATGATCCAGCAGTGAAGGCAGTAGAAAGAGGAGGATTCGACGACTTTGGGTCTATCGTGTTTCGAACCGATTACTCAGACGAACAACGCTGGGAGCAGTGGCATAAAGAGTTCCACCGCATAATAGACGCCTCCATGGAGGGCGCTAGCGGGGGAAGGAAAATCGAAGATAAATGCTTCATTCCAACCTACGAGGATGAGGATATGGCTGATGCCACTCATAAACAGATCCTGCAGTAAGACCATATTCCTATCCTTTGCAGCTCTGGATTTTACTGATTATCGCGATAGGGCATACTATGAGTACCAAGAGACTGAAGGTGTCCTCCCGGGACTTGACATTGGTATGTGCGTGGTTGTAGATTCAGCTGTCATAGACTCTATAACAACGGATAAGCCGTGGATATATGTATTGGACCTGTCATTCCATCATGAGAGTCAGCTCGCAGATGGAGAATATCCAGGCTACTTCCGAGTTGCCGTGGAGTCCCTTATCACGGAACTTTACCCAATGCTCACAGCGATGACACCGTCGGAGCTTTGGCCTTCGGATAACAGAATATGGGAGTCAGCCGTTGAGTAGATTGCTTCGAGGGAACGCGTCTAGGGAAAGTGCCTTACATGTTAGATAATAAGTGACGATAGATCGTATCACGAGTTTTATCGCTATACTTTTTAACTTCCAAACATCAAAGCCAATCCATCCAAACCACCCAAACATCCAAACCTCCCTCGAATACCGAGTCTCTCCTCTCAGTTGGACATAATGTGTGTGCACATGCGATGTGTCACAGCTGGCTCTTTCTTCTTCAGACACCTCAACAATGCATCTAAGGATATCTCCTTCCCTCATGCATTGTTACCTGATCTTTCACGTGATCTCATGTCCCTAATCGTCTCAATCGTCACAACAGTACAGTAATTATCAAGGCAAATAATTGTCACAGTTCCAGAGCTTCAATAGTGACGAATATAGTTACAGTCTGTAGCACCTTTGTCCTAGCCTTCCTATACTATCGACTGATTCAAACATTCGAATATGGATAGTTTAGCTACCAGATGTCAATAGGGTCTATTGCCATGCTATATTTCCTCGGTGCGTTGTCCAAGAGTAGAAGTATCATATCCATGGGCTCCCAGATATTCACGGAATTCGCGATCGTGCTTGGTGATAGTATCCTAACGAACGCGTCAGTCACTGAGGCCAGTATACAAATCCATCGACTATTGAGAGACATGTGTAAACTCACCTGTCCGATATGGGGTAAGCCGAAGTACGTAATAACCGATGCGAAAATGCAAAGGGAACTGGCAACAAAGAATGGATTCTGGCCAGCGGCAATAGGGTTAGGGTTGTCCTGGAGGAGAGGGAACACATAGGTGCCGACGAAGGCGCCAGTTTTACCAATGGCGGCAGCGATAGCGTAGTACTGGCCTCTGACAGCGGTTGCGCTAGACTTCGAAGCGAGGAGGCCGATATTGTCGCCAGGGCCAAGTTCACCTAGAGAGAGGAAAATACTAGACTTGTCAGTCTTATCATTCCGTGAAGAAGCATACACGTGAGCACTGATGGTGAACTTACCCATAGACAACAACAAACCCAGCGACGTTCTTAGGAAGCGACAAGAATTCGTAGCAGCCAGACATGATAAAGCCAACCACGGCCTGAGCAGTCATGCCGAGAATCAAGCACATGCGCGGGCCAATCCAATCACTGACGAATGCGCCCAACAGCGAGCCAGGCAGATAGAAGAGGTTAACCACAACATTCCAGCCAAAAGTCTGCCACAGAGGAGTGCTGGTTCCGAGGATGTTCGCCAGCCAGACGGAGGAGTAGGTTCCAAAGGCAAAGACGGAGAAATCGTAGATGAACCAGACGAGAGATACAACGAGCTGCAATTTGTTAGAGTCAAGGCGAATGGGGATTTATAATGGAGAGATGATCGCCTACTAGATTCTTCCAGTGATACCTACGATGGACGGATCGTTAGCGGATTGTTCTTCGTCAAAAGGCGAAGAGTTGACTTACTTGATGATCAGACCGTACGGGAACCGGTGCATGCGCTCCCGGTTGAACTCCTCGGGCTCTTGGAGTTTCAGACGGAGGTAGACCAGACTGAGTGGCGGAAGAACACCCAGACCCAGGGCAAAGCGCCACGGGGCCTCGAGACGGTCCTCTCCAAAGATCAGAACAAGAACCATGGGCACGAACGCGGCCACAACGAAGCCAAAGTCGATGATGAAGTCGGTGAAAAAGATGAACCAACGGTTGCGATGGCCCTCCTTCAGTTCGCCTGTGCCTTCCGCCGCAGCAACAGAGCCTGCAGGGTATTCACCGCCGATACCAATACCCATCAAGAAACGATAGGCTGTCAGAGCAGCGAAGAGACCGGTCGGGCTCCCGTTAGCACCATACGAGCCGGCGCTGAGCGCAGCAAAGAGAATGACCAGTACGGTAGACGCCATCAGAGACCACTTGCGTGACCAGTAGTCACTGGTAATACCGAAGATCAGCATGCCGACTACCTCGCCAACGAAGACGAGGGAGGAGACATTGCGGAGGGCGGGCGAATTCTTGTAGCTGTCGGGATAAATTCGGGACAACATGGTATTGACAGATCCAATAACCTGTGACGATGAGCTGTCAGATTCTTTTCTCCCAGCAACGGGTCTCGAGGGATTTCAGTGCAACACACGCCATTGAGATAACCATCGGAAAAGAGACCAGCACCGCAAGCAATGACGGGCCAGCTCCGTTCCCAGCGAGACTTGGGCACAGCATCGAGAGGTACCTGCAGCTCCTCGTGGGTCAGGTCGGCGACCTTTTCAGTCTTTTCGGCATCGGTAGCAGCCATGTTGCGTATCAAGTTCGGATAGAAACACCGCTAGCGACGTCAGAAGACCGGACAACTCGAGAAGGCCCTTCACGACATTTCAGGGGCCACATAATCTTTAAATACGCTCGAATGACCCATGAAGGGTGGCACCAACGCCACAGAAACCGATCTTAACTCAAGCAGATGGGCAGATAGCACAAAACTGAGCGGCATTACAAAAAAGGTCAAGATTGGGGCGTCTCACCAGTATGACCTAGGTAGCGCCCACGCGGGGACGGGAACAAAGGTCTATGAGTTTTGACTTCGAGATACTATCAATACCTACTGATGGAGCACTTTGGTGCTGTATTCTCCGCCGAATTACCAACGGAGCGTGTCTAGGTAACAAGGATAGGCCACGTGGGTCCCCCCCCCACCTATGAACGAACGCCGTTGCATGTCCCCCAGACCGTCCATACTACGCCCATCCGTCAATGACGCGAGATTCACGCATCCGACGGCACTAGTCGAACGCACACTGCATGCGGTGATACCCCGACAAAGAATCCATGTACCTCCGTATTTCACGGCGGAGTAAAGAGCGAGATTCCCAGACTCGCAACCCCTCGGAGAGGGGAGGCGCGGAACAACCCAGAGAAGAGGCAAGGCACGTGTGGGAGATAAGCTTTTTGTTAAGAAAAGCTTATGCATAACCGAGAAAAGTCACACACAACAAAGTTTCCGTGTGACAACACCCGACTAATTAGAGCATTTACACAGTCGAGAGTACCTTCCCAATTGGCATACTGGCTTCTCGAAATCCCTCCTTCCAGGATCAAGTTGGCTTCCCAGGAACGCACGTGGGTAGCCGCTGCCGCGACCAGCCAGGTCAAGCCCCGACCAGCGGACTGGCGGAGTAATACTTAGAAAATAGAGACTATTTGATTTTGGTTGCAGAAATTGAAAGGCCAACCTCTTAAGTGGGGGGATAGGTGGAAATGACACCATTGTCCATACCGTCCTAGCTGAATCCAGTTACACAAAAGGGAAGACATCTAATCAAGAAATAGACTATTCATCCCCTGACAACGCACCACACCAGCTCACAAATCCAAAAGTATTTGCACAGTTCCATTCCCATGCCTCAGTCGCGCAATGCGGAGAGCTTGTCGCAGCAGCATCCTTCAACAAGACACAGTCGAAACCTTTACTGAACGCATCTGTCAGCGTCCCGCCGACGCACTGGTCGGTATTGACCCCCGCGAACAGGAGTGTCGTAATCCCTTCCTCCTTCAGAAATGCCTCGAGCTCTGTCCCGGAACCCCAACTGCCTTGGTATTCAACCCTCGAACAACAATCATCAAGAAGAACAACTATAGTTAGATCTAGTTACGAGACATAGCACAATGCACTTAATCAAAGTTCTGATCTTGGCCAGATTTTCAAGTTTGAATAGTCTGATTTTCTACAATATGCACTGTTTAGCTCAGCCGCAGAAAATTGGCTTATTCGAACGTCGGATCAACGAGTCAACTCCTATATGTCCAAAGTCAACTTCGTCCTGCGTGTTTCCGGTGTAGGTAATAGAATATGAACTGAAATTATCTAGGTGACGGTAAAACTACCGCCTCGGGTAAGCCACCGCGACCGCGCTTTTAAAGTTTGGGCGAGGCGACGGTTTCCACTGCCTGATCTTGCTCAATTTTTCTTCTTTCCTACATCATGCCTGATTTCCGACATCCGAGAGACATGAAAAAATGCTTGTATCCGTACGATTCCGGGGTCATCCAACTAAATGTGCAACGCTTAGGGCAGAACTCCGACAACAACTCGTCCTGGACGGCTCTAGTAGACCAATCCATAGACAGTGGAAATGATGTTCCGGCACATATTGCGAGACAAATTACGTGTGCTTTACACCCTACTCTATCCGGAAATGACCGGTTATCCTGGGCTTTAGATAGATTACGACTGAAGTGAGTCTTTTAAGTTCCACGGAAGGATCGATCTAGGCATTTCATCTGATCTGACATTAAGCTATTTAGGTACATCAACGGTGTGGATATTGTATCCGCTGAAAAGCAAATTCGTGCAACTTCTGCTATAATACGCTGCAATCTTCCGCACCTTTATCCAACTGCCAGCAACAGCGAAACATCTTCAGAACTCGACGTGTCATGGGGTGCATATGACGCGATTATCACTCTTTTGCAAACTCATTTCCGTCACTACAAACAAATCATGCTTGTACTTTGGACCGATCGCACTATTAGCTTATGGAGGCGCGAGACAGGACAGGAGAACGATGCTATGCTAGCCCGGCTTGAGAAAGTACTTATCCGGGCGGATGAACTTCATCGCACACTTGCTCAACAGGGATGTGAGTTTTCGATTTTTCCGTCTCCGGCCGCATTCGAATTGTGCCTAGATCAAGCAAAGGAATCAGGTGGGGTTCTCGAAGAGGGTGACTGGGATCATAACCGGGGTGCTGAATCCCGAGTCTGGCGCAGTATTGAGCCACAACTGGGCTATTGGATTCGAACAAGCTTCTTTGACATGTTTGAAAGGGAGGATATGGAATTTGTGTGACATTGGATTAAGGGCATGTAAGAGCCCAGGCGCTTACTATGAGCCCAGGCAAAATAGGGAACAAGACTTTTCATGTCTCTTTAAGCAGCTGAAAATTCATACATCTGGAGATAATCCTAGGGCTGACAAATACGATCACCACGTACATAAACTCTTTAATATCAAGCTCCAATTCTTGAAGACAAGATCTAGATGAACGTAGCTCCGCAGAGTTGTAACGATTCAAGCTGTTTGTAGGCACTCCATTACAGGAAAATAACAACACTCGCACTGGTGCTTAACAGACCGTGGCAAAGTTAAACGGCCGCTGAAAGCCCCTTTGTGCTGTGCAAGGCGACAATAAACACGAGCCAATCGTTGGTCACCGAATCATCCAGTGATAAAATTGGGGACACGACGGTGACGTACAATTAGTGTTGAGTACCGGCAAAGTTTACGAACAGATAATAGCAAAACTAGCATACTTGGTGAAAGGTGGGGTTGCTTTACTTATTCACCTGATATGTTCATTTTGGCTGAGAATCTGGCGCATAGAAAAGCTAAATATTGAGACATGGACTTCATTTTCTGACGGACACTTGAACGAACACTATCTTGAACGAACGCTTTCTTGAACTTCATAATCTGACGAACGCTTGAATGAACAGTATCTTGAACGAACAGTATCTTGAACTAACAGTCTTGAACGAACACTATCTTGAACTTCATAATCTGACGGACACTTGGACGAACAGTATCATGAACGAACACTACTCTTGATGAACAGTAGCATGATTTGCTTTTAGTACTTAGTGGAGCCACTAATAATCAAAACCTTGTCTGCAATAAATGAATAGTTAATACAATACGCGGCACCTGCGTGTATTTTTGCGGTAGGGGGATGGTTTAACGGAATCATAAGTGTAAATAATATGGCCAAACAGAAGATAAAGTTTTAACTACTTATAGAATGGCCATTTTGAACAGGTTCGAGTTTGACTTGAACAGGTTTGAATTAAACAGCTTAAAGCTCGGGCAACTCAATGAATGTGTAGTCACAAAGTTAGGTGTGGGGTTTATATTATACTGGTTTGGGTATTGCGTGGGCGAGATTACCTATCCTGTCGCTCTGCGATTATTATTTGCCTCTTTGAGGTATCCTATGCCATTTAAAGGCGGTGTTAATTGGGCGGACATAAGGTCTTTGAACAATATTGACAGTTTTACGACTCTAGTTGGTAGATCAAATGATGGAAGCGAATAAAGTGAAGATGGGGAGGTGCGGAGTTAATGTATGTTTAGGCTGAAATGAATAACGTAATCCTACAACCGATGCCAATATGTTAGGATTCTTCCTTCCCGTTCGGGTTTAGCGCCCTGATGTAGTCAGCTCACCCAATAGGCACGCTGTGTGCTTCCCATCTCTCACAGAATCCAAGCGGATTTTCGCCGCTCCCCACTGCAAGTTTCGAATCAACACCTATCGACGGGTCCTTTTCACCATTTTTTTTAAAAAAACTCTACCACAAAGAACCCCGTATGCAGATGGCTATTTATGCAATATAAGAAGCGAGATATTAAACCAAAACCGAACTCTTCGAAGATATTTGGTGTACCTGAAAGCACCCTTTGCGACCAGCTTGATGGCATCAATCCACGGTCGGAAACACGCGCCAATGGCCAAAAAATGAGAGCTATTGACGACGGGTCCTTACCAAGCTGCTACTAGATGCTGATAGAGGAGACTTTTCAAGCCGACCGAAATTTCTACATGGGATGGCGCAGATTTTGTTTCGCAAGCGTAGACAGGATTCTATTGCAACCTTGATGTTAACTGGACATATAGCTTTCTTAAACGTTACCCAACGCTACGGATAAAACCGGCGTATACTGTATCGTACTAACGTGCAAAGCAGGAGGGCCCAGAGGTTATAAAACCGTGGTTTATGACTGCACGCGAAGCTATTCAGGAACATGGTATCACCTCTTATTGAAGTTGAAGGTTCCATCTCATCTGCTTTTCAAATATCTCAGAATCCTCACCAACTCGATAATAAGTTCCGCAGCCTACAAGGAAGTCTCGAAATAGAAAGCTTTCTTGCAGTCCACTCTCACATATTCATTATCTTGAAAAGGCTGCGCAGATGGCGATGAATACAAACCTCATTCTTCAACAAGAAATGACGGTCCTATGGACTGAGTATGAACGAGGAAAAAGAAAGAATGCCAGGAATGCGTGCTACAGTATTACTGGTAATGATCTTGTTCTATTTGTACAAGAAGGTCAAAGTCGAGTTCAGCAGCTTGGTACGTAACATAATAAGCAGATTAGTGAGCCTACACCCAGGCCAGCTCCACAACGCTGTAGTAGCGGGGAATTATTGGACACACTATACGGCGTTGTCCTATTTAATCCTTACCATTTTCCTTTTTTAAGATAATCCTATTTATAATATTTGTTGTTGAAAAGTTGTAGCGCTGTGGTTTGAGCAGTGAAAATGCGCGGCTCGGCGCGGCTTGGTTGTGGATTACGCTATGGAATGCTCTTAGCACGTACATAATCCTATGAGAAAACCGTCGATGGAGTCCTACGATGAGGCCTTGTTATTTGGCTACATATCATGCGTCTATTTAACCCCTATCAAGTGTGAACATGCGCAGAGAAGGCTACAGATATTGATTAATCTATTGGCTTCGCTTACCAAAGACAATGCGCCCTTTCTCGTCTTTCTTTCGAATCCATTCATGCTTTGACAGTAACCAGACGTCCTAGGGAGAATACGACATTTCCAAATGGCACTTGCGTCTCCGCGGGGCCGCTTTCGGAATAAGCTTTATGCTAAGCTTTAGCAAGGGTTTTCAAGGCGGTGAGAAAGAGGGGTTATGGAGCGGTCGGGGGCAATGGTGGCTTGAGGATCTTATAGTAGACACACTTGCTGACAACTTGTGAATAGGAGCACGCAGCCCCAAGATTGGCCCGTTACTGGTAAGAGGTTATTGGACTCTTTGTTATCACATACACATAGTGTAAGAACAACAATGCATCCCACTGGACATCAGCGGAAGCCCCGGATAGCAGAGCACCCTACTGTACACAGAAAAAGTGGACAGGACAATCCCAATGATGATCTCCGAGTCCCACCAGTCTCGCTTGTCATCAGAGGGGAAAATTACGCTTAGTCCTCGGCAGTCAAAAAGGCCGTCAAAGGGCTCCAAACACGGGACGTAAAGTACAAAGTACACGTCCGAGTGATGGGAAAGGGGCCGGAAATAAAGCATTCGCAAATTCAAGGGATATTCCAAAAATATTATCATAATGAACACGCTTAGCCTAAGCATAAACATAAAAAGAAACCAATAATCACAATAACCGAAAGCCCGAACAGTTATTGGGGTGGTATTTCGTAAAATATGCCAATGGCAGCCGAGGCAAAAGCGGAGAGCTGTTTCAGGTACAGCGTCCAAGAAAAGAAAATATTATCAATAAATGGCAATGGAAATGTGCCGAATGGGATCAATTTACAGCATGGCGATGGCACCAGCGACGGCGGCCAGGAGGCCACCAGAGACGCGGTTAGCGACACCGGCGTTGGTGGTGGGCACGGCGGACTGGGAGGCCGAGGAGCTGGCGGCGCTGGAGCTGGCGCTGGTGGAGGAGGCAGTGCTGGAGCTGGAGCTGTCGGTGGTGCTAGCGGAGGTGCTGGCAGCCGAGCTGGAGGACTCCGACGAGGTGCTGGAGGTCTTGCTGGTGGTGGAGGTAGAGACGGAGACGATCGAGCCCTCGACAGTGAAGCGGGGCAGGAAGTTGTAGTCGTTGTCGTTGTCGTCGGAGATAATCTCGATGGTGTAGTCGGGCTGGGCGGCCAGCTTGGAGGGCACATCCCAGGTGTAGCTGCCGTCGTTGGGGATGTTGGAGGCGATGACACTACCGGAGTTGGCGGTTGTCACAACTCCCCACTGCAGGCGCAGAGTGACTGTGCCGCTGGTGGAGGGAGTCCAGGTCAGAGTGGTGGGCTCGCCGACCTTGAAGGTGTAGCCATTGGTGGGAATGTTGAAGGAGTTGTCCGTGCTGGAAGCAGAGGCAATGGCGGCCAGGGCGACGACGACGAAGGAAGTGAAGAAACGCATGGTGATGGGTTGCTATGTAAGGACGGAAAGGTCTATGTGCAGATAAAAGAGTAAAAGAGTGAAAAAGGGGAAATCAGAGCCTTAAAGGAAGGGAAGGCGAAGTTTAAGAGGCAAATGGAAGACAGAGCCGAAAATGAGGCGCAAGCGGAGGCTAGCGTTATAAGAGCGAGTCCATGGTTTGTTAGCAGGAGACTTAAGGGACTTCCGAAACCCAAAAGAGGCAAGAAAACCAATAGCGTCAAATGCAAGGTACTGCGATCGGTTGTCACCCCAACTCTCTCGTGGCGGAGATCCACGAGCTTGCAGGTCTGTGGCCATTAACGGCTTTGGCTTCCTCGCTTGGCAGGGAATCTCCTCTGCTAACTGGTGCACCAACGGACTCCCTCTCCACTGCCGGCCTCGCTCGTGGCTTATCGGCCTAGCTAGCTGTAGCTGTGGGTGTGACTCCCGGGATATCGACACAAACATAGTCGCCCATATCCAAATATGCGCAAGATGTCCCAACAGCTGGATTCCAAGCGTAGAAATCATCTAGTGAAATTCCGGCTGTAGAAGCTACAGCAGAACAGGTATCTCCCGGTTGAACGAGATGAAACTTATCGCAGTCACATACCATCCCACTCTGAATTGGAGAAGGAGTGGAGATGCCACCTGAGGTAGTGCTGGTGGTAGTGATCGTATAACCGAGAATATCAACACATACGTAGTCACCCACATCCAGATATGAACAGCTGCTTCCCACTGCCGGGTTCCATGAGTAAAAGCCAGCAAGGCACTGGCACAGCCATCCTCAGACTCAAATACTTATGCAACTTCCGGTTCCTCATGTTTGGCTTGTTTGCATCCCTATGGAATGTTCTTTTCGTAAAGTCGAATTCATACAACGATAATACGTAGGGCCATGTATTCTTCAGTGTAAGCCATTACATTATGATAATTTCCCTCGTGTGATCTCCACCAGCGCCTTTAAACTACAGGATGGACTTGAGGAGCTCAGCCACATTAGACGGTTGGCCACACAGGTCCGAAATGGAAGGTCGTTAAACTGCAGTCAAGAAAACTTTTTTCCAACTTTGAGGCAATTACGGTCCAAAAAAGGTATTGTCGGTGAGCGAATGGGCGGCCGTCGCTATTTTGACCACCAAAATGATTGCCTGATTCCTGAAGAACGTTAGTCTAGGTATGAGGGGTTTATGTAGTCCTATCACAGCAAGACAGCCGCGGGAGCCTATTTTCTGCTAAGCCTTCATAACCTCGCAGGCCTAGTGCTGTGTCTATTCCACACTACCTCGTTTTGGTGCAAATCCGCCCTGTGGCGTTGCTGTTCTATGGCATTTCGAACCCCGGCCGCGTAGCCTCGTATAGGCTGAGGTCAAAACAATGGAGAATCAATTTGTCACCTGATTCATCTAGTAGGATCGCTGCAATAAGCTCTGATCAAGCCCTCAGCAAGTTCACTATGATTTTAATTTTAAGCAGCCTTAACGCGCCTCCAGCCGGGAAGACACCCTAACCGTGCTTCCATCTCCTCCCGCCATGGATCTCAACGTCGCTCCACTATTGGCTAGCTGTTTCTGACAGTATGGCGACCATAAGGACCGCAGATGCCGCGTACGCGGGATATGAGCCGGGACAGCCACTGTCCTGCGATGATGGATCATCTATGGGCCCGGCTTTCTCCAAGTCGCAATCGATGGCCCGATCTTATCAAGAGGAAATCCACGAGAGCATCTACAATATCCGTTCTCGCTCCAGGATAACGGAGCGGATCAATAGCAGGATCTCGGCTGCGGAGCAGCCAGACGACGACCCAGGTTGCGAAACCCGAGCGACTTCAAGCAGAGACAGGTAGGCAATGCGACCATGAAGGGCCATTAAGGGCGAACGTCACTCACCATTAACAGGTATTCAAAGGCAAGATGCTGTTATGGCTGGCATATCAATCCGTGGGCGTGATTTATGGCGATATTGGCACCAGTCCGCTCTTCCTCTTCTCGTCCAGCTTTTCGTCCCCTCCCTCTCGACAAGACCTGATAGGCGCCCTCTCCATCATTACTTGGAGCCTGTTCATGATGGTGACTGTCAAGTATGTGCTGGTGATCCTTCATGCCGATAACGACGGCGAAGGTGGCACTTTCAGTACCTATTCCCTTCTCAGCCGCTATGCCGTCTGTCAGTCCTCGCCACATATGTTATCGTTCTTCACGAGGGAACCGTCATTTACAAACCTGTCGATCGCCATCCGTCAACCCTAGCCACACAGTGATCGCTTTTCCACAAGGGAACCGTCACTTACACCCTATTGATCTATCCGTTACTCTTGGCCCTCTTGTCATCTCCCTTCTACAGGGGCCATGGGGGAGGGGACATCACTTACACTCTGTCCAAATGCGAGCAATAAGAGTGGGCAAAAATATTGTGTAAAGACACTGTTAGAAGAGAATGATATTAAAATAAACATCTTCAACAGTGCTCTCGAGCTAGCAGTAGAACAAATAAAACTAGACACCTAGTGGTATAAAACCTATAGCTGTGAAATTATGTAGTTCGACGGGCAAGAAAATATTTACAGCGGGTCAATAAACAGTTAGTTGTTTCAGTAATAACAACAAAGGTCTTGAGCATCTTCGTCAGAAGAGACTGCAGTCTTGGATTTCGCGAGTAGCCGATCCATGGTCCCCGCAGCAGTCCAAAAGTGCTGCTTCTTTGCCACTCATTTTAACAAGCTTGTCTTGAAGAACATTGACGGAAAAACCGCCTTCCGTGTCGTAAATATCGTCGCCAACAGAGGCATCCAGGATATCCTAGATTTTCGCAAATAATGGAGCAATCTAATATATGTTGACTATATCCTACCTGCATCATCTCTTCGGTCGGAACTGTAACTACATCAGATCGGAAGTCGGCCGAGGCCTTCTTCAGCGCATTTCTCAAATTTTTGGTCTGTGTGTGCTGAAACATTGGTTCGATTCGTTTCTTGTTTCAGTTTTCTTTTCCTTCGCAGGTCATGACGGGCCCCGCTCTTCGGTTGTAGTGGGCGTATTGTTTACGGACGTTACTGTAAATCGTCGAATGTTCAATTTATTGTCCCGAAATATTGATACTTCCTGGACAGATCAAATCACCCATAACACATACACCACGTGGCACCGCTACTCCAGATAGCTGTCGATATCAGCTCAGTAAAACAATTATAGTCTTGACGGCCACCTAAACTGCAGAAATCGTCCGGACTCTAAAATGTACCCAACCCACAAATCAAATCAAAAAGAGTTCTATTCTAACCATTGCTACACTGGCACAAATGGAGACGGATGAGATATTTTGGCTCGCACGGGGCACCTGCGGTCTGAACACTGGCGATGTAGGCCTCGTTGACGGAGGGCTACAGCGCCGTGAGGGCTGCAGGCGGGCCCGTGGCACTCCGTATATTCTAGGAGGAAAAATAGCTATGCGAGAGCATACGTGGTATATACATGAGGGGGTTCCGCGGTGGGCGGGAAGAAACCGTCGCGGAGAGAGCCCGGCTCTCCCTCGAAACGGCGATGTTCTTTTCGAGGGAGGGGAAGGCCAGGCGATATTTGTGTGCGATGTCCAGCACGGGATATCGTGGGCCCGACGCAAGGGGCTCTCACGCAACAGTCCCGAATAGAACCTATCATAGACTCTGATGGAGCGGTCTGCAGTATTTTCTTCGACGTGCTGGGCAGTGGTGTACGTCTCCTCAGCCATCCTCTCCTTCTCTGAAATAACCTCATCCCGCTCTTGGGCATCCTGATTGCCATGCAGTCCGATCTTATACCAGGGAAGCTGAAACAGATGATCCATGCTCTCCAGTGTCCGTCCAGCTGTTTCCGGCAAGCTAAACCATACCCAGAGACCACCAATAACAGTGACTGCCGCGAAGAACCAAAAAGTGCCTTTAGGAGCGAGGCCGCCATTGGCAGTTGACAGCAGCATGTTTGGGAGTGCTCGTGAACTACCGTACTGATTGGCAAAGTGCAATGTCATAGACAGTGATGTTGACAAGGCACGGATGCGCAGCGGAAATAGCTCGGCCGTGAGCAAGTATTGCATGGAGTTCCAACCGAGCGCCCAGCCAAAACCGGAGATGAAAATCATGGCAATAGCACCGCGACTGGCGCCTTTCTTTGACTCCGGCAGAACAAACTTTTTGACTATGCCCATTTCGGGAACAGCAGTGAGGAAGGCGGCAATATAGATCATCGAGATGGCTTGCAGGGTGATGCCGACGAGTAGTGCGCGCTTACGACCGATGACATCGACAAGGAATAGAGCACAGATGATCGCTGCTGCCAGCTTGACAATACCAAAGACGGCCGTAACTAGCAGTGACTCATTGGAGCCAGTAACGCCAAGCAGTTTAAACAGATCAGGGGCGTAGAGGGTGATGGATCCAGCCCCGGACCATTGAGACAGAATCTGACCCATGCAAGCGATATAGAGTCGATACAAGTTACTTGTGTCCAGGAATATCTCCTTGAGAATGCCAAACCAGCCAGCTCCCATTGTTGCCTCCTTTTCTGTCTGCAGTGCAATCTGAATAGCCGAGATTTCAGAGACCACATATTCGTGATCAACCGGAAGACCGCGCAAGCGGGCAAGAGTCTTGCATGCCGCCTCATCCTTACCGTCTTTGATAAGATAGCGAGGCGATTCATACTGGAAAAATGACATGATAAAGATGATGCCGGCGAACATGATGTGAAGACTAGTAGGTACCTCCTAAAAGTTAGGTTAGTCTAGTTACTCAGTTTGATTATGAATGTTTTAACCAGGCACAACTGAGTCCTTACCCATCGTTTGTGAGTCGAATCGCCCATATTGACCTGACAGCCGTAATTGGCAAAGTAGGCAAGCACGATTCCCAGGTACACAAAACCGGTGAAGACGCATGTACAAAGACCTCGAATGGATGCGGGGGCCTAGAGTAGGAGGTAATTAGCAAAGCAAAGGTGACACTATGTTCAGAGTCCATCAACTTACAATTTCAGCGAGGTAGACAGGTGCAACGACGACAGTCTGTCCCACACCCAGGCCAGCAATAAATCGGCCGGCATAGACGGCACCTAAGTTTCCATTTGCTCCCATAAACATGGCAATACCCACAATCCACAGAACGCACAGTTGACGGGTCGCCCAGAGACGGCCAATGCGATCACAAACTAGGAATGCACTATAACAGAAACAGCGGACACGTGGTTAGTCTCTTGGACAGAGCAATCGTCATGATCATGAAATGGCATGGGAGCATACAAGAGGGCACCACCGACAGAGCCAATCTGAACCATAGCGGACACATTGGCCTTGATATTTGTCTGTTCCACCAGGCTGTATGAGCTGTAATGGATGGTCCTCTGGAAATCCTTAGAATTGAAGGCGCCTGAGATCAAACCCTCATCAACGCCACGAGCTGCACCCATGAGGCCGAAGGATATCACGGCAAACCACAGTCTCCAGTTGAAGACCTCTCGTGGCTCAGGTAGATTCTTCAACCTGAAGATATTGACTGGTTTCTTTGAGCCGCCCGCCATGGTAAAACTTCTGTGTGCAATTTTAGGGGAATCGAGGATAACAGAAAATGAGGCTCACTGTCAAGGAGTTTCGCGGGAAAGCCCTTAAAGTAAGCAAACACTGCTGGTACCTTGTCACAGGGACGGGGGATATATGCGGGGATCCATGGCACCCAAAACGAAGGCTTCATTCAACCTCCGAGTGGCAAAGGTACGGTTTTGCGGAACGCCACGGCATCAAATTATTCCTCCGATTAACGGAGTCCGGCCTTTTTGAAGGGGTTTTGAGCGAGTCATGGGGGGCGCTTTTGACCCTAACCCCAACCAGCGCCCGCCGTAATGTCATGTGGTTGTCGGCCTGCTGTTGGACTCCAACATTAGGGTAACTTTCAGACCACTTTTTACCTAGTGTACGGCAAAATATTTCCGGATGCGGCCAGACCCCTTGGACGCACCGACGAGGCGTCTGGTTGGTCAGGGTCACGCGTGTATTCGAATCCTCTACCGAAGAATCAAAGTACTCTTCCTCCACGTTCCGTAGCGCGCAACCACGGTCGAGGAGGTACATTTAAACAGATGCTCAGGGGGCTGGCTCATGGTTCACATTCATTCCTTCCTTCTCACAAAAAGTTCCATGCCAAATCTCTTGAGTTTTCGGCACCGCCTATTCTCCATGGCGTGCGTCAAGATAATTATAAGGGAGCCTTGTTTTCAGGGGATCGGCAGTGGAATGTTGGACTGGTACTTGGTATTTCGTTGGCGCGATTTTATCTCCTCCTAGGCAATAGGGAATTTGACGTTGACAATACATAACTTATTGGTAGGATGGTCCTCGCCATTTCATTAGCATTTGTCCTTCGGGTCTTTCTGCCAATCATAAGACTTACAAACATGCGTTATAAATGGTGCTAATATTTCCCATGTTTCATGCGGCGCCTTATGAGGAAGCACCATGTTCTTGCCACAAAAACCCGATCAAAACATGTTGCACTGTTTTTGATTAGGTTAGCCCCGGAAATTGCAAACTCAAAGACAATAAGGACATGCCATCCTCGCGTTCTGGAACACTGCGACAAACTTTGACGATACTTAATTATGTTGAACTGTGTGGGTTGTACGTGGGATGCCGGATTTCTCTCCACATGGCGTTTCTCCACATGGTTGCCTGAACCTTGTTTGTCAGCTCGGACAAGCTTTCGAAGCATTTTGGGGCGGGGCCCCCATTCGTTTTGATTATTATTCCAATTCCACTAGTGTGGATGGTGAATGCAGACAAAGGCCGAAAATGAAGGCTTGGCTATGGCTGAGACCCTGAAGTCACAGTCACATGGACAGGAAGAGGAGGCAGAGGACCTTCTAAGGAATGAAACAATTAGATTAACGACTGAGCCTCGACTTAGCCTGGTAGACAGCTATTTTTACGATGCAAATGTATATGATTGGCTACTTCGTCGCCAACGGGGACCGAATGTAGAAGTGGAGTCCAAGACTATAGCGCAATTCTTTCTAGGGTCTTTGCCCGGTCAGGGTCCGTACAGGGTCCAAATCAGCCCCTGGTCCCTTTAATGGCCATTTAATGGCTCATGTCCCCAACAATGCGAGCCTCGGGGGTCCGAAGGTGCATCATGACGCCTTACCAGGAAGAGTGATCGAGTGTGCAGACTTCCACAAGTAAACGGGCCGAAAAGGCCCAACGTGGGGAAGCATAGCCTGTAAAACGTCTCAGTTAAAGGGAAAAAAGCTCGAGTTCGACCATATTTGACCAATGTCCGTCCAGTTCCGCCCCTTAGTGGAGACTAGAACCCTCGACCGATCAGCGTCTCCAGGGCTTGTTTGGATCATTGCAGCCTGAAATGGATCAGTTGGCTTTCTCGAGGAAATTTGGGTCCGGAAAATTTTGTTCATATTAGACGCGAGACCTGTATAACAGAATAGTGACATTGTCCTCATTAAAGTTTTCTTCCGCCTTCCCCATTCACAGCACAACACCATGCTTTCAGTGGCTCTTTTCTCTCTCTTCCTCGTTGCTGGCGCTCAGCCGCTGGAGCAAACGTTGACGGTCGAACCTGTCAAATACTGCACAGAGCTCCCAGATTACAACCCAAAAACGAAGATCGCCGGTCCATGGACGATCAACGTCGATGGATGCTATAATGGCAAATCATCCCGCAGCTGCAGCATCGAAGGGTTTTCCACCGGCGCCGATACCACACGTCAATTTGGCGATGAAGGCTACCTCAACGGCCTGGTAAGTTCCATCATTCCCTCATCTCAACCAACCAAAACCACAGCATCAGAACTAATAGCCACACAGGTCACAATAACAAGCCAAAAAGAAAACATAAAAACTCAACTTCGCTGCAACGGCAACGAAGAAATAACTCAAATCGAAGCAAATGTCCCCTACGGCTCCGGTGATCTAGCCTGGCAGCCCGTCGGCATCAACCACCACCCAGCCACAGGCCGACTCGTCTGGGGGCGGGACTTTGAGCCCGTACAGGTCTACCGGCACTCAATGCAGGGTACACCGCTCAAGGGACTCTTCCTCGGCTCGAATGGTCAGACGCAGTGGGTTGTCCATTCGTCGGGTCAGGATGTTAGCATTGTTGATTTCAAGCCGTATTGGGTTCCCAGGCTTGTTATTCTTGATATGGTTATGAATGCGGAAGAATATATGACTTTTATGAGGATTGATGGCAGCTGAGTTGGGGTGGTTGTCACTTGTATTTATTGATTTCCTTCTTTCTTCTTTTATCTGATTTTTTTATCTCTTCTTATACCCCAATTTATGCGTCTCGGACGGCGCGTCGCGCTCTTTTCTACTTTGAACATCTCGCCCACTCCCTTTCTTGGAAACAGTATACTTCAGAAGTTAGAAGAATGAAGTCACTTTAACCATAACTAGGTAAAGTACTTACATCAGGTCAGACCTCCATCCCGTGCTTCTCCTCTCACCGTTGATCAAACTACGCTAACCCTACCTTCGTTGTCAAGACAGCCGCTACCCCCAATCGGATCACCCCTTCCTCAACGCTACTCGATGCGATCAAGCACGGACTAGCATTATGGGAGCCGTACTAGCTGCAAATGATTTACTAGCTGCAAATGATCTACTAGCTGCAGGCGTGAAGTACGATCATGAGAGTTACGGCTGCGACGTTTATGTGGCTCACACATCGACCGGGAGCTGTAGTCCAAGCCGCTACAGCCGATTGTTTCACTTTGTTTCTGTGGATTCTTCAGTTCGCGCAGCCCAGTCCCGCCTCCCTCTTCGCATAATGAGCATGGCGCACGGGCTTCTACAAGTCATATAACAGCCATATTTGGGTTATGGGAATGGAACACCAAGAGCCACATAATTGAGTGGCCTCTTGAAGCACGCACACGATAAGAAGTGTCTACATTCAGAGCGCACAAAGCACAAAACAAGGGATTTTGGGCATGTTGTCATCTGCAAGACGGCCATCGGTGCATGGAAGAGCTGCAGAGCTGTATGGAAACTCCATTTCGACGGATTCTGTTGGCCGAAGTTGAGTTGACCATAGCTCTGGCCGCAGAGCTAGATTATAAATGTTTTAATAACAATGAAGTTCGCATTTATAGCTATTGTGTTGTATCATAAGGGCCCAGCATGCATAACGTAATTCACATGCGAGTTAGTTGGGACTGCATAGGTACCTATTGCCCCAGGAGCTTATAACGTTAACGTATCGTGTAAGCGAGTGGAACATGTAAGCGAGTGGAACACCCGCCCGCTATATCTACTATTATTATTCAATTTTTTCAACCACAATACGAATTCATTAAAACTGAGGCTATTCAGACCTCTCTAGGCACCTATTTCTCTTATGTCCAGGCGTTTTACAGAGACTGCATCGCTGTGGGCGTCTCTCATTGGTCTGATTAGGTGTCGGCGATGCTCCGCCGGCTTGCTCATGTATAGCTTCTTCCACCTGCCCCGGTCCACTAATACGCGTCATTGCTTCTTGAACTAGTAGACTACCTTCATGCGCTATTTGAGCTTTCGTACGCCGCTTTCTACGCGTCACTTTCGCATTGGCGGCAAGCAATTCATTGATTTGCTGCCTCGCGATAGTGAAACTGTGGATAGCAAGCTGACAGCCTTTCTCCATTTGGTCTATCGCATCACCTAGACGTCTAGGGTCATCGGCAGCGAGCTTCCGAATAGATGAGGCCTGTCTCTTCACTTCTTTCACTGTTCGCGGCGTCTTTGGAGTAAAATTGCGGCTTGAATCGCTACTATGGCTAGTAGGTCGTGGGGGGTGATAAGGCGGACATTAAGCTTCGAAATAACGTGCTGCGGGTCGAATGGCTTGATACCAGCGCCGGCGAAGCTATTCACAATATTGCTCTCTGTAAATGCCTTGATTCGGGCCTTCTTGTATGCCTCTAAGAAGTCATTCTTATCGACGCGGTGTATGCCAAGCCTTGTCTGGGACTCAACCACTTCACTATAAGCCCGTTTCAATACCCCAAAACAGCCGATATCGAGAGGCTGTAAAAGGTGCGATGAATGCGCCGGCATACAGATCGTGATGATATTATTTTGAGCGCAGATTTCGTCAAATTGAGGCGTAAGATGGCTGCCATGTCCGTCAAGGACGAGGAGACGATATACTCCTTTCGTACGGCTTATAGTCGATGGGATAAAGACCTTTTGAAGCCATTCAAGGCTTATAGAATGCGTAGTCCATCCTTTTTCAGTAACTGCGAAAGCCAAGTCGCCGGTAGGTCTGTATCGCCGAACCAGGCCTTCATAAAGACCTTACCCTTAAAAATGACGCATGGCGGTAACGTATACCCCGACGCGCTTATTGCTTCAAGTGTCGTCACCCATTCGCGATTTCCAGGCTGTAAAAGAGCTCGCCGACCGTACGAAGTCCTCGTCACAACTTTTGCAGTGGCTGTAAGGCCGAGAGCGAAGCCAGTCTCGTCGAAATTGTAGATATCCTCCTCAAGGATACCGTATTTCGCAATCGTACTTTGAAGGTAGTTAAACCACGTTGTAATCATCTTCACGTCCTCGCATTGAGCTCGCCGGTAATCGTAAGACCTCGAGAATCGAGGTTCTCGGGGCAATTCCTGAAAGGTCCTGCTCAACCATTAGAGAAATTTGTGCTGAATATCTCGGCCCGTATCATGCTCGTTGTCACTTAAGACAGTATATTCCCCAGAACACCATGCAGATGCGATATATCAAGATAAGTAGGAGGAATAGTAATCCCGGCCCAGATTGGAACAGCCCGGTACTGACCTTGGCTTTTCGGCCAGTCTCAATGGACAGAAATCAGGAGTCGAGAACGTCTCCGCAGACAGCGCCTCAATCCTAGGCGAGCTAGCACTCGACGCTGGCATAGCGAAGTGCGTGCTCTGGGCCAGGAGGTGGAGGTTTGGAAGCTATTGCGCTGTGACTGGCCGCGTGAGTGGCCAAGGATTGGGCCATGGTTAGAGTGCGTTGGCGTAAGGCCAGAGATGGAGCCGGAGGGTGTGACCCGTGACTCACAGAGTTTGATGCAGAGGAAATTTCGGCGCGGAGCCTAGTCGGTCTCTGAATGGACGCTGTATTTGGATGGTATCGGGGACTGTGGGTTGCGCATCTTGCACTTTGTCGGTAGGGGTCTGGCCCGGGGTGGGGACTTGTTACTGTTGCATGGTCCAGTTCGGCATTTGGGTATTCCATGCTGGGGTGGTGGCTTGCTGGTTCACGTACTCTGGGACCTGGGCTGAGTTGGGGCCTATTGAGCGTGTGACCATCGAGTATTGCTCCTCAGAGCCGGACATGCAGTACATGTAGGAGTTGGCATTGTGGTCGAAGGATGTTGCTGACGAGAGGATGTAGCTGTCGGCTGTTGCCAGATGGCTTGCCATGGAGCTTGAATCTTGCGAGAAGGACGAGTGGATGTTGGTCAGGTCACTTTCGCAAAGCTTCGGTCTGAGGAAAAGCGGCTTGGTTTAGTAGGAATATCCACTCTGCATTTTATTGTCGCCGGTTTACTCATATACATAACTGTTGCTATCCGCCGGTATAAATGCGAACCAGTACGGCGAGACGAATGACCGAATCGACCGCCATTTTCAAGTAAACTGGCTGGGCCAATTTTATGTCTGTAACCTGCCTTACCCACTGCTGCACAAAACGTCCAAGTTCCCCAACACACCTGCCCCCCGAATTGTATTCGAATCATCAGAGCAGCATCGCGCCGCACCGGAAGAAGTTCATTTTGCTTCACTTGATGAAATTAACAACGACAAACTGAGTCCTACTGAGCTTTACGGCCGGTCCAAACTTGCAATCATCCTAGGAGTCAAGTACGGTCTCGTAGAGCGCGTTATTAAACCAAACAAGGATAACATTTATGCGCTCTCTGTACATCCGGGTGCCGTAAGTTCGTTAAGACATGGAGATGAACTTGCGCCATGACTAACACCTATCCTAGGTCAATACTGCCATGCAGCAGCAATGGAAGGAGGCATACCCGGGTCTGACGGGGAAGCTTATCACAACAGCTATGCTTGCGGTGGGGCGTGATGTTGAACAAGGCTCTTTCAGCGCGTTGTATGCCGCGTCGAGCCCAGACATTGAAGTTAAATAATGGAATGGATACTACCTGACGGACCCTGGCCAACAGGGCGAGGAGTCTGTTCAAGCTTCTGATCGCACTCTTGGTGCCGCCCTTTGGGATTTAAGCCACCGAAAATCAAGGAGAACGTTAGCGACGACGCCATCGCAGACTGGAGCGCAAGTGTTTGAGACATTTAAAATATCTCCATACAGGGAAAGGAGGCGAAATGGCAGAATTCCGGAGGAGATATTTTAGCAAGTTACCGGCATATTGCCCCAGTAAACAAAACAATATAGGTAGAGTGTTGGCTTTCACTACTTGAGATCAGTACCTGAATGTCAAACTACTGTTGTGGGCAGCGGATAATTTTTTACAATATAGATATATATGAAGTGTACAGACGCTAACCAGCTACGATAAGATATTTGGCAGTCTCGCAACACGGCCAGCGTTAAGCACCCGAGGTGAAAAGCGCTTTAGGAAAACCCAATCGAAAATATACTGGGAGCTCTTATTTAGCTCCCCCATTACTTGATCTCCAAAGTGCCAGGATTGTGTGCCACCATTTTACCATCCTTGTTCTCGAAGCGAACCTACCAAAGGCAGGGTTCCATTAGCATGATAAATTAATCTAATTCTAAAATAGTATCATCCTACTCACTTTTGGTGGGTTTTTCACGTCAACTTCTTCCGCTCGTTGCTGGTCTAAGATGATCTCATCCACCTGTATATATGAGGAGTCGTTAGCGCACTCTGCCCACTAGGCTCATATATGTCCAACCAATGGTTGTTAATAAGATGTTGTCCTTTACTAACGTGTCCTTCATGCGTTCCGCCGCGGATTTTGGTAACAACATAATCACCAGGATGGATGATCTTGCCATGCTTGTCTGTAACTTCCTTATCACTCATTATGTTAAGAGTTTCTGTAAGAAGTGGAAGAAGTAGATGAGAAATTATTGAGGGTATTAGAGATATGGGGATCATGGCATCTCGCTACATATATGTGTTTGAGCGATGATTGCCATCCAGGAGTCATGATGATCTCATATAAACTTCACCCCTACGAATCTATTTAATTAGACCTCTCTAAAACCCATGGCACTACCGAAATACCCCAGCCTAGTGGTGGTAACAAAACCCTTGGAACCACGGTGGCTGATCGAGTGATACGACCGGGGTACCCGGCCGCCCATATCAATATCTGCAACGCAAATACTGCACGAATATCTTGATGGTTGACCCACAACATCTATGTGCAGTCATAATACAGGATGCTCCGGAACAATTGTACTAACAGCAACTTAGCCCGTAAACTACGCTGGGAACGCTTTTCCTCTGATTCGTTAATCTAATGGCTAGATACTCTGAAGGAGAGTAACCAGGTTCTCTAGAAGTGCGGGTTCAGGTTGAGAGGGATCGCCAAGTTCGAGCTACGTATAAGATCATCATTCACCTCACTTATCTGGGAAAACCTTAATTTCTTCCTTCTTCTTGTTCAGAGACCTGCTAACTTTAAACACAGCAAGCTTTTTCTCAGTATCAAGCGAGTTGTACCCATACAAATAATATCTCATAGGAAACAATTATAAACCAGATAATCTTCTGGGTATTTGACCCGGGGGACCATATGACGTCACGAAAACTTGAATGATGATCCCGCCGTTTCTGTCTCCCATGCGTTCCTTATAGGATCAGCTAGCGGCCATAGTCGATTAGAAAAAGAAAATTTTAATTTTGGAGAACAACACAAGATTAACTATACGACCAATATGAATATCGATATGGAATCCATCAAAACGTAAGTTAGGCAACGGCGGGTAGGCTCTCACCTATGTCTAGGGCATGTGGTCGCAGATTATCTATACTAACTATTGATGCAGAATCGACGAGTTCCACGAGTTGGTCAAATGCAAAAAGTACACCATATTGTGCTTTAGCGGTTCCAACGTTCCACCTGGATCTGTTGTGGAAGCGACCTACACGCACATAACTACCGCAATACCTACTGAAATGCTAAGCATAGTCACTATTAACTTGAAGGAAAACCCTGCTATATCCTTGGTTGCCGATGTTAAGGAAGAGATGATGCTAGTTTTTATGGATGGGAGGGAGATAGCAAGATATCCTGGCATTGCGCCTGATCAACTGGAGTACGTGGTATCAAAAACTTTGTGCGGATTGGGGGACGCCAATGAAGGCTTTGCGCAAGCTATTTGCTCGAAAATTTGATGCGGGTCTACTGCACATTAATCACGAAGATGTGTGTGGTTGCTGCGTTCTACCGGCTCACAAATAGTCTGTATTGCATCTCTGATCTGGCTTAAAGAGGTCGCGCGCCACGATAGCGTTTTCAGGCGACTGTAAGCTACTCCTACAATCAAGGATTACCAGTAATGGTATTCGTGTTTCGGGGGACAAGGATTGGCACAAAATATTCGGACCCCTGTAGTAAAAGGCATGAGTGATTTGCCTAGCCTCCCGAAAATAATAGACGTGCCATGCTTCCGCGCAACGAATTTTGTAATTGAATATCCACACCTGTTGTTGGCCCAGTGGTATAATTCACATTATTCCACCTAGGGCATGCTGTACGGTTTGCAAATCAATTTGCTGCAATCGTAATGCCAGCCTAGGACCGAACAGGCACTCATTTATTCGTGCCCAGCATCTGCTATAGCCTGATAATCGCAGGGCTGGGGAAAATGATATCTTCACAATGACTACAGTTTTCTCACTCTTTCACGTGACCCTCACCTGTGACAGTTTACTCGGGAATAGATCAGCTTTAGAATGTGCGGCTCCAAATCGTGACACCGTGGGATGGTCTGACTAGAGTATTTTGAAGTGTTATTTCAAATTGTTGTTAAAGTACACTCGTCCTTATCTCGTTCATACGGGGCGATAGCTGAAGTCGCTGTTACGATCTAGATGATAGGGAGAAGATACACTTGGCTAAACAGAGAAAAAAATAAGATGTCATTGTATTTTTACTAATCCAAACAACTCCTATCAACAAACAACCCCACCGAATCAGGCGTCAAAAACCGACGGCCACTGGGCACGCACATATGCCAACGCCTTCTGGAGATTCGTTGCATCTCCCGAAGGCTTGGGAGCTTTCCACGTCTGTTCCTGCCACCGAAGCCCAAAATCTAACAGTTGCGCGTCCCACTCCGTGACATTGTACAATGCAGGCGGGGTTGAATTCAGATACTGCACGAACATCTCCCAGCGGGGCACGTAGTACGTGGACACCAAACCGGCCCAGGACTTCGAGGCGTAATCATTAATATGGCCCTGGGGTCCCCAGAGCGTGATCTGATTGCGCGCATTATACTCAAGATAAGAGGATAAGCTCTGGTTACCGCCGGACCAAGACCGAGCAGCGTCGATCCATGTCGAGAGACAGAAGTGGGGGTTTGTGAGAAGGACGGTATCTAGATCCTTCAGCAGGTGGACGAGCTTTGCGCCCTCGTCCGTTAAGACGCTTGAGGAGGAATTCGAGCCGTAGTAGGTAGACACTAGATTCATGTACAACGGAATGAACGCATTGGCCATGACCTGGCGCGTAACATCGACCATGTCGTATTCATAGGCTGGGTTGGTCCAGAGTTGTGGTTCTGTGTGGGCGGCTTGGTGCATCAACTGCCACGCGTGCACGAGCACCGATGGGTCGTAGTTAATGGTGGTAGGATGGTGGCCGGTGATCCCAACAAGTCCCTCGGTGTTAGGCCGAAGCTCGAAGATAGACTTACTCACAGCGATGGCGGACGCCAGGTCAGTGTTGTTGTACACAGTGGTGCGTATTAGGTCCCAGGCCTCATATAGCTCCCCCGGAATCAATTTGAGGCCCGCATACCGGCTAGTGACCCACTGATGGAAGTACTCATGCGTGTCTAATGGAGTTGTCGACCACGCCTGGTCAAGGAACAGGTCGTACACTACCTCGTTGCCCTCCTGACCCTCCATGCTTAGACCGTAACCGACCATGGATGGCGAGTGGAGACGCGCGTCGGTCACGTTCTGAGTGATATTCATGATCTGCCCGTATAAGCCCATGTTGCCACCGTAGTCGTGCAACATACACCAAATCCAAGGCTTGCCATAGTAGGAGTTCGTCTGTTGCCATACTGGGGCTGATTCCGAGTATAGGTCTAGAATTAGCATGTCCTGGTTATGCTCGACACCTGAGAGATAGGCCTCAATCCGCTGATCGGTCCAGAAGGCCGAGTCGGAATAGAAGAGCCAACCCTGCATCATCCAGATAGCCTGGGGATCAGCCGCTTTCAAACTGCGCCAGGTGTTACGAGTGACATTGCGTAGATAGCTCAGGTCACCAGAGTAGGGGTCGTTCTCGTTGTATTGATCCAGCGTGTAGATATGGCTCACGTTGCCGTAGGCAGCCTGTTGCTTGTGGATGAAGATACGCTGGATCTCTGCATAGTGGCTGTCAAATGGTTCGAGGAACAAGTCATTGGTGTATTGAATGGGAAACTCCGACCATTGGGAGCCTCGCACCACGCTCGCATTAGGCATGACACGGGTGATGTTATTGGGAACAAAGCCGGTAAATGCGGGCAGCACCGGAGTCATCCCTAGCTCCACCATACGTTGCACGATCTGTTTCTGCAAGGCAAATTGATCATCAATCCATTGCTGGGGCAAGTCTCCACCCCAGGAACCCTGGATATTGCCGAATCGGTTCCATGCCTGGAACGCCGGCCCACTTAGAAAAGTTGCAATCTCCGCGTCCGTGAGACCGATTTCGCGAAAGACCTCAACCATGATTTTCTCGAAGCCCACCCAGGCTAGGGGCAGGTTCACGCCGCGGAGGGCAAGCCAGTCTAGTTGCAACTGCCAGTCTTCCCATGACCAGAAAGCAGCAGTGTAGGAGAATGTTACTAGCAAATGTTAGCCAGAGAACAATGCGGCACAGTTGCGGTGGGAATCCAACCAGTGTTGAAGTGATAACGCCACGGTACAGTGCTAGAGCCACTGATGGGACTAGCAAGTTGAGGCAGCTTGGCGGGCGCAAGGTCCAGGCGACTGCCAATGTACCAGTAGATATCAACGTGGGCAACAGCGGTGAGATAGCGATGGAGGCTATTGATTCAGATCAGCATGGATAGGAATAAGGATGACGACAAGGGGTTATGAATACCCTGAAGACAATGCACTGAGTGAGCTACCCTGCACAAGAACTGTGCCGTTGGCAGCGGTGCTCACGACATACTGGTCGTAGCTGTTCGCAGCTTGGGTAGCATTTACTAGTGTGAAACGAAAACTGTCAGCATGGTTCGGCAGTCGACGCTGGACGAGATTGTAAATGCCCTCAGTGGACTGAGCGGCCACCGTGGACGCGGCACACAACCAGAGCAGCGATTGAGACCACCGCATGACGACAGAGAAGCAAGTAGAGAGAGAGACTTGAAGAGAGCCAGCCTGGAGAACTGACTTCACAGAAAGATCAAAAAGCAGGCCTTATACTTTTCTTATTGTTCGAGAAATCCACGACCTGATGCTCCACTGCCAACGACTGGCCGCGTTTTTTAAAGTTTAATTAAACTTAAGCTTTTGTCTTCCCTCTCAAACCAACTAGCAAGTTCCAGCATGTGCTGTCAAATACCCCTGTTACATTACCCTGGTTAATTTCTATGAATTTCCAACCAATCGTGGGCCAATCAAGGGGTACTAGACCCCTCAAGCCATGCGAGGTCGTGGCACTAACGGCGAAAGGAACTATGAAAGTCGGACGGAGACTTTTTTTAATTTCGGGAGAAAGTCCTTCCGCCCCTGCACTCCGTGGGTCTTGATGGCTCGTTACCACGCAACAAAGATGTCTTCGCCGTCGAAACGTCTCATTGAACATTCGCTCTGCATTAAACATGCCTTGTGATCCTGCATGAGGGCGTGGATCTAGTCTAATTGATCAGCGAAAATTTCTCCGCGGACAGAGGGAGATTTACATGCGGCGTCAAACAGGGGAACAGTAATCTAACGATTGGGAGTCGGCATCTAGAAACCTTCACCGAGACCAAACTCACACAGTAGTACAGTGGTGTTGTAGATTAACGCCACCACTAGAAGTTCGAATTTCGATTAATATTGCAGGAACTCACGTGCTAGATCATTTGCTCCTCGATGCCACGGTGTGGCGACACTTGGAGCAGGAAACCCAAAGAACTAGAGCCAAGGTGAGGCCTAGGCCTCCAGGGCTGGATTCGGCGGATTAAGCTGACCTTAGGTTGCTGCGTCGAACACACTTTCCGGCACACGTCTATGGGCAACGTCTAAGAATAGTCAAGAATTGGATTGGACGTACAATACTGTAAGTAGGTAGAACACCATCTTCGAACAATTTGAAGCAGGCCGCCTTGATCTTCAGCTATTTTACGAAGACAAAAGTGGCTGCATATTGATTGTCATACCACGCCATAAGGTCTCGCATCAGCGCCATCGGGGTTTGGGATATATAGAGTAGAAGACATGTCGAGTCACATTGGCAAATCCTGGTTCTCAATTGCAACATCAAGCTTTGCAGCTTGGGCACACGTCCAAACAAGGCAAAAGGAATCGTTTGGTCGTCCGAGTCCCCTTAGCTACAGGATTTCCAATATGACTACTCTTTCAAGCAAACCTTGTCCACAAAGCCCATGTTCGTCGCAACCGCAAACCGATAGTCTATGCTTGGTCAGCCCACATTATGAATGCAGTTGTGCTAGAGTGTCTTTCACCTGTCCAAAGCTCCACTTGGTTCATTGATTCAGCAAATTGTCCAAAGACAGTTTTCACCCTCTGATCCGCCTCTCTCCTTGTCAGTACCTGCGCAGAAAGGGATTTAGGAAAGGTGGACAGTAATGGAGTAAAGAGGGACGAAAAACATTTAGTCGTTCTTTGCTTTATTGGTTTGATCTCCTGTAAATTTGAAATCGGAGGGTCCATTATATTCATAGCTTTAATTCAAACCCCACCTCAATCGAATCTGTTCTTCCTCAGCCCTGCCTACCACTTATTGGGTGGTTTTTGGGAAGGAAGGGGTGGGGTGGGGTGGGGCTCCCTGGAGAAGAGGAAATGCACGGACAGCTGGAAGAGCGAGTTATGAACATCCAATAGGAGGTCGCTTGTTCGACTCAACTAATCCAAAGTTCAAGATTCAACCGATTCTTGCACGATCTTGTTTGTCAGCCAGTGCGACGATGCTGAGGTGTCGATATTTCCCGGACAGATGTCGCCCCCACCAATTTCACAGTGCAGCCATCTTTTGTGGCCATTCCAGTGGAAGCCGACTCGGGCGGATAGAAAATGGTGATGTCCTGTATCTCCGCAGAGTTGCGGGCTCATGTACCGCAGCTGTTGGCTAGGGGTTGCGATAGTAGAGTGGCTGAAGTCACATCAGAAGTGGGGATAGACTCCCTAAATGACAATTGAAGCTAGTTCCAAAGAATTGGAAAGCAGAAAAGGTTGCATTTAACGCGATCAATTCATCTGGCTCGGTTGTTGAGGGACACGTCGGAGTAGCCCAAGGATCCAGCTGCGCAGATTCCACATTCAGGCCAAAATCCACGCCCGCTATGTTTTCGCTGTGGTTCAGGGGAGGGAAAAACCAACGTGGAATCAAGAAAATGCCGAGAATCGCCAGATTATCGACTTCACTCTCCGTTGTCTCAACCATGCCACCGTAAATCGGCGGCTGAGTTCGGTGTTTGTCTACCACGAAGACAGAAGTCAAATCCCGCCCCAAAAGTCAATTCCAGCTAGAACGTACACACCCCTAATGAATAGGCTACCAAAGCTGCTTCGGTTAAACTATTCATGTAGTATCAACAACATGCCTAGTGCATGGGCCCCCTGCCCCAAAATGCTTCGAAAAGCTTGTCCGAGCTGACAAACAAAGTTCAGGCAACCATGCCGCGAAGCGCCATGTGGAGAGAAATCCGGCATCCCACGTACAACCTTCAACATAACTAAGTATCGTCAAAGTTTGTCGAAGTGTTCCAGAACGCGAGGATTGCATGTTCTTATGATCTTTGGGGTTGAAACTTCCGGAATTAATCTAATCAAAACAGTGCAACATGTTTTCGATCGAAGTTTTGTGGAGAGAACATGGTGCTTCCTCATAAGGCGCCGCATGAAATGCGGGACATATTAGCAGTTTCCTATACACGAGGAACACGCTGTGAATAGTCACGTCTTTGGTCTTCATAAGAGCCATAGTGAACATGAAATGAGTGCGGCACGTATATAATGAGGGTCGCGTATAGACGTGGTTGAAGTTGTCAGGCGACAGCGATCTTGCTTTCCCGCGCCAGTTCTTCTATGTTTGGGCTGTTTGCAAAGAATATCCTACGGGGTTCCATGGAGTCCTACTGTATCGAGTCATTTACTTTCTGTTCAAGCGGGAAAATACGGCTTGACTGGGGTTCGTGCGGAAGTAACTATCTATAAAGCATCCATGTACTTGTCCATATCAGAAGCTTTCCGTGCCTCCACTTGCTTAAGCAATAACCGATCGGGTTCGTACGGCCCTTTTTTCATCCACGCAGACCATTTCTCAATCACTGCCATGGCCTTCGTGGGTGACATCTCAAACCATTCTTCGTGTGTTTTTAAACAGCCCTGACAATAGATAATCACTTGGCGATGCTTCAACTCCGCGTGACATAATTTCTCAACACGGCGGGCGTTCGGAACGAGCGCCGCATTGACCCCAGGTATTGGGAACAAAGGGTTTGATTTTCGGTTGCAGTCAAAGCACCACTCCTCGTGGCGCTTTTCAATAGTGCGCGTGGTGTACCCAATCTTGAGAAAACCTTTATTTCCTTCAACTTCATAGATGTAAAGGTAGCCATTTTTTTGATCAGTTGCGCTCAACTGCTTTTTCATCTGGCTTCGTACACCATCATATGAAGCCCTATGATCATCAGGCCTATCACTTCTTTCGACGATGTCGAAAGGTGTCGTATCGTACTGGTCCAACCAATATGTAACCAGATCCTTGACGGAACCGACAGATATAGAGTATGGCTTTGAATATCCTTCCAAACCTGCCGGGGATAGTATATGCTTTTGTTCAGTGAAAAATTTGCGAGTTGCCGGAGAGCTTTTGATTAACACCTGTCTTTGGGGATCAACTGTGGTGTTGCTTTCCTTTAATGGCTCAGGAACCGAGCTTGCCCTTTCAAGGACGTCCTCAATCCTTTCCTTCCACGATGCCAGCTCTTTCAATGAGCTCTGCTTCGTATGAAGATGACATTTCATATTTGTCGAAAGAACTCGAAGGAAGTAGTCCAAACTTATCTTGTTTAAGTAGACGTCGGCGTTGGTAATTTTCTTGATTGTCTTGGTGCAATTTTGAGCCTTTTGCCCTCCAATAGGTTTATTGCAGCGCTTGTTTTCCCCAGTAGTTCCCATGCACTGAGTACTAATTCGACCAAAGCAAAGTCCAATTTTTCTTTCGATTGATGTGCCATGTGGGGCCCGGCCAGGTCCAGAAGGTAAGGAGTCTGTCCATGTATCCAGCCGCATCTGTTTTACGTAACCGCGTCTGTGCTGGCGGCAATGCATAAGATCGACCAGCTTCTCCAAGTCAAGTTGAAATTGAGGGGATGACGGATGACGCACAATCATTGAATCAATGTGATTCTCAATACGGTCACGAAGCTTGTTTGCTACGGGGCGACTGCATGGCGTCTGATCTTTTGTGAGGCCACCACACCGCCAGTCGTCAATACCAAAGAGACTTTTCAAGTTTGATGCTTCTGGCAGTACTGTTTCATCTCTCGGATCTGCATCTGGAGTGCTCGAACGAGTGACATGGTTCAGGGAGTTGGTGGGATTGACCGCGCTCGCCGACAAGACGGCTGTAGAGGAGCCTAGCTTTTGACCAAAATCTTCACAGGTAGTAAGAGGAACACCTTCTCTTTCACGCGGCGAATTTGGAGGGCTTGGATAGGCAGCTACATCTCTGATGTCGGGGCTCTCGGGGATAAAGGTTTTACCGGATGGAATAGTATGTGTCGTTTTTCTGTTCGAATTCATAGCTATCAGAATACGGATTCGCTACTCGACAGTGCGAATATCCTCTTCGAGAGATGGAAGAAGCAGCTAGGATGCAATAAAGAATGAATGAGCCGCAGCCCTCGGTGACGGTTTGGTTCTTGTTGACGCCGTAAGTCGGGTGGCTGCGTGGAGCGACGAGTATGTGTTGTGACTCCCTTGGAGCCTAGAAGACAGTGAATATAGGAACCTGGCAATACCAGACGTGATGAATGAGGTAGCGATCACTTGGACGAAATGTAAGATAACTTGAGTGTTCACTGGATGAAAATATTTCGCGGTCAAGTCGGGGAGATGAAGAAGGAACTTAAAAGCCGAGCGGAGCAGGCTATATGGATGCCCGTACCGAGGGATAGGGTGGGGTGGGGCATCGACGTGCCAAGATGTTTGTTATGTATATTACCAGTATAGTCCGATACTTGTTACAGCGGTGTTTCATAAGTACAATATTTGATCTCCGATACTTCGGACTAGGACCTACTTTTAAATACTGCTAAGCAGAAACCTCGGAATTTCATTCAATTTCAATAGCTAGTATGCCCTCATATTTAATAGCTTCAGATATAGTAGGCGGTCTAAAACGGCGGTCAGCCTAAAATTGGACCCCACGTATCGGAGGTCAAATACTTATGAAACACCACTGTACTTACAATCCGGGATTACTATTGTCTTGGCATTGGGGGCTGATAATTAATTGAAGAATGTCGAAGGTGACACCGATTTCCGGAAGTACTTGTACACCTCAAGGAGCTCTACGTTGCAAGTTCCTGATAAGACAAGGAGTGATCCTGGGTCCCTGGTTTCTCCTGGAGTCGCAATTGGCGTTCCTAGATTCCCCAGGCTCCACAGGAGTCATTTACTTGTTCCGGGGAATCTTTTCGCTCCCAGAATTCGTGCTTGGAAATCTCCTTAGCGCTGTGATAACTTGTGCACTAGCCTGTGTCCATCCGTCTCTGGTGGGAACTCATGCATGCCACATTCACCATTTTGGGTGTGGATGAACTCGTATCTTTCCTTCGCGGACCACTGCGCAATATCATTCATTGAAGACCGGAATCAGGGCTTGAAAGCGCAGCATACCTGCGGTTGAGTGCATCAAAATCTATTTAGTTGAAGAGGGGAACCCTGTCACTGACCGTCATTTACTGGGTTTGTGCAGAGAATTTAAAGGGAAAAAAGTATGGATAGATGTGTCGCACTTTACGGACAGGGGGTCCTTGGGCAAAATAACTAACTTTCGAGCAACGCTGACCAGAGCGGGGTACGGGGTGTGTGTCCAATAGATGGAGATGCATACGACCCGGACGGCCGCGCCCGTGAAGGCATAAGCACATGAGACATGTGTTCCAGGTATTTTACCAAGATTAAGAGGCAGCCTCAAAGTTAAAAAATGTGAGCAGATTGACTCTCCTATCTCTTCACTGCATTTTAATAAGTGATGATAGCCTTGAATTTCTCTTTTGTGACACAGATGTATCCTTTGCTGTGGTCTTTCGGACGCTACTCTATATTCTGTACTTATTGTTGAACGTGTCCATGCGAAAGTAAGACGTCCATACTGCGTTTCGGGGCTCGGAAAAGGTAGAATGAAACTGCCGCCTTTCTTAGGCTTATTGTAGCAATTCGGAGCTATGCAGCATGTAAGTAGCGTATGATGATGGAGTAGTCAGGGCGCGTACCGTCACAAGCCGAGTCTGCAGGTTGGCTTTTATACAGGCAAGGATTGTCAAGCCTAATAAAACAAGAAGTAGCCCCATTGAACCAATGGAAGCTCCCCACAAGGCTCGTTGGCGCCTGGCAGTTTTGAGGTCCGGACTTCGCCAAAACAATTTAGAAGTACTTGTTTGCATATGCCATGGCCTCAAGCAAATGACCCAAGCTCGAATAAGTTGGGCATGGACGAAGGTGAGACTAGCCAAGCTGAAGATCATATATGAAGAAAACAAAACATTGTGGTGCTCCTGCATTTTTGGTTAATTAAGCAAGCACGGTAGCCAAGGAAGTATCAGTCGAATCGCACCGGAAAATACAACGAAAGTGATAGAATAGTAATTGTTCCCATCAATAATAAGGCATATTATATGGGTTAACGAGGATTGCAAAGTAGAAACACTTAGGTACTGGAGAGATTAGTGTCACTCTCTTTGAAATTCAATGCCCTTACCTCATTTAGATTGAGGAGAAGAAATACACTGCAATTTTCCTGCTGTAGTATTTGTCCTTATTTCGTTTCATACGGGGCGATATCTGAAGTCGTTCTTACGATCTAGAATATAGGGAGAAGATACACTTGGCTAAACAGAGAAAAATTCAGATGTCATTGTATTTTTACTAATCCAAACAACTTCTATCGACAAACAACCCCACCGAATCAGGCATCGAAAACCGACGGCCACTGGGCACGCACATGGACAAATACACCCCGTTTATAATATGTACGGACACTGGCGCAGCTGCCCAGTGATGAAGGTACAGACATGGGCACATGAGCCAAAATGCCGTTGTACACTTTGACCTATGGTAACTGACTGTTTCTGCTCCGTCTTAGCGGCTCAACCAACAATTACTGTGGCAGTAATTGTGACGTGAACTACGGTGACTGCTCTAGTACTAGTACCCTAACATCGACAGCCACATCGACTAGTGCGACCCTATCTGCAACTTTGAGCTCCAATGTCTCAGCTAATGGACTCCGGCGCTAGCAATAGTGGCCAAACCTGCCTCGGATCTCAGTTCGGAGATTGCTGCAGGCAGAACGGATACTGGTAAGGTAGCTCTAGATCCATGCAAAATGGGATTGGCTGACCAGATTGAAAGTGGATCGGGGAGTGACTCCTGTTCTTCGGCTAACTGCGACTCGAGCTATGGCAGTTGCTCATCGTAGTGATTACTGGTAAACATATAGCCTGGGGCCCGTAGCATTTGTGATTGTTTTTTACTATAACGAACGACGCATGGCAAGGACCCTTGTTGGTGTAGTAAACATAAACTCCAATGGTTTCAAAATTTGTCAGAAGTGCTACGATAGCTACCCTTATGAGAGATTCTTCTGGAACTGTAATTATGGTCCTACTGGCTGCCCTCTGCCTCTGCCTCTGCCTCTGTCTCTTCTAGGGCCTAGTATGCGCTAGTCCCATCACTACCACCGATTTCTCGTCTCCTCCAGGAAGTCCTGCAGAGTTTTACCCTCCGCATTTGGTTGGCTCATCAACATAGTAGTATCCTCCCCGGCAGCCTCCTGCAGAGCACGCATCATCTCATCCTGAAGCCTGATCTTGTTCGCAGTTGTCACTTGCTCATTTCTCCCATCACGGCGTACATGATCATTAAAAAACCCCCGCGCTGCCGCGTGAAAGGGCGTCTCCCGGAGACTATTCCGAGCGCGGAAATCCGCCCCATGCGTAATTAAGAACTTTGCCACCGAGACCTGCCGCAGATTCTGAGCAAAGACGTGGGAGAACTCTATGCGATGGGTTTGGGAGTGGTTCCAGATATAGCGTTTACTGCTCAATGCCTTAGAACCGTCTGTTAAATCTATCTTTGAACCTCATATATTGGTGGCTTGGAGCTGCAGATAGTAATCTGTTTATAATGGCTTTGAGTAATGAAAGCTCTTGCAGTCCTGGTGGCCTACAGATATGAAGTTGCTGATGCCAAGACTCTCTCATGGAAAATCTGACAACCGCTTTTTCTCAGAGAAAATAACTGTACGGAGTAGGCGCGGTCGACGGGCTAGCTGAAATACAATGGATAATATTGCATACAAGCGCAATATTGTCGAGGCGGAGGAGGTCCAGTTCGGCAATCGATACTATAGTGAGTGGCAGCCCGATATTTTGATGCGCAGTATTACTGACACGCTCAGATTCTAACCCCAAGGAGGCGTGCAAAGCCACACTGAGCTCTGACACCTTGAAGTTTATCTTCACGAGTAGACCATATCCGACCATTCAAAGCCAGCTTCGAAGCCTGTTCAGAAGAAATTTGGACTCTGTCACAATCCGAGATGAGCACACTCTGAACTCGATTATGATTCGGCATGACATTGACATGTTTATCGACACGAAGGTAGATCAAGTGCTGGCGGAGTTGCGTCCGGGCCAAGATAACGACAGAGAGCACCAGAAGTTGCGCAAGTATTTAACGCGGAACCTCAAGGGCAGAAGCATTCGGAGTTACATGTAGGCTAGACTGGTCCTTGCCGATCTCCAGCAGTCCGGGCATACGGATATAAGTAGATTGAGGCAGTATCCTAATAAGGTCCCGACGAATCTTGATGAATCCTGCACATCATCCATGCCGAAATCAGGTTTGGTGTTCCACACATCAATGTCATTGAAATCGCTGTTGGACCCTCGTTGTCAGATTCAAGTTCTATTGAGGCCATATCGTCGTCGTCATGGTCTGATGTGCTCTTGGCATCGGCAGAGAGTTCCGCTACTGTGTCCAACTCTCGCTGGAGCTCCTTTTTTACCTCGAGATTTGTCAACAAAGCTAATACTAGCGCTGCTCATCCGTCACGCGGCCCTCTAGAGGATAGATAAGCTTGTTTCGAACAAGAGCATAACAACTTGAAGATTAACAGAACCAGAGATGATGCAGCTATTCAGTATTACGCCCTTCAGACGGAACATTAACTACTGTTGTATCATCTCATGCATCTTAAACGTTTGTATACGGCTTGTGTGCTGGGTCAAACTCCGACTCTGACTGAACTCGATCAGGATGTCGGTTGGCTGGGCCAAGAATAAGACAGATAGGTAAAGGACACAAATCGTCTGGTCTTGACTCAATCGCCTCTAGCAGCGCGGATAAGAATTTAATTAATGTGTCCTTAAACTCCATAACCGAGAAGATGATAGTCAACTTTTGCGGATTCTGGGGGCGATGTGAAGGCGACATCACTACAAGATTGCGGTGCAACACCTGTGCTTGCAATCCTGCTGTCATATTTGAACGGCATAAACATTAGCTTATGTACGCGGGTGCAGCAGTCCTCCAATCCTCCTTCGACGTGGCTGTGGGGCATCCTGTCATTCGACGTGTCAATACTGGCAGGCACGCCGGGGGTCTGTGCGTCAAGATAGCGGAGGCGGTTTGCTGATAGTCAGTATCTAATCCCGCAATCTCACCGACCTGTTTACCGTTACATTCGACCCCCAGTCGACTGGCGTGGCCAGTTACATTTGATGCAAAGCGGGGTCTGGATCGAGGGGTTTTAGGGCGCTGCATACGGGGATGAAAGGAGAAAGAATTCTGTCCCGGAGCCCTAGTCGACCTGGGCGGCACGGCTAGGAAGGTTTGACCAACTGTCGACCAGGGTCTCAGTTGGTCGACAGTTGGTCTATCTCTTGTGATCTCAGTGTTCGACCAGTGGAACCGAGGTGCTGGGACTCCTAAGTGAAGTGCTAGATGCGAAGAAGATCGAACCATCCCTGTTCCTCCAGTGCCGTTCAATAAGCGGACCGAGTCTACTGTTTGTCTTCCCTTACTACTCCTATCCCTTCCCATTTTTGTGATGTCAGCGGTCGGGATGGCCAGCACAGAATCCGAAATCGAAATGCACAGAGCGGCCTCTCGAGCCTGTTGTTCTCTTCCAGAAGAAGCGTATGCATATACCGCCGCCATAGGGCCTAAATTACACACTTTTACAGAACAGAGACATGATGCGCCAAAGTCCAACCACCCACCACCAAATGGCGGCCCTGTGGCCTGGCTGCAAGTCCTCGCGGGCCACCTTGTCGTGTTTAATACCTGGGGCTATGCCAACAGCTTCGGCATCTTCCAGGCCTACTACGCCTCATCGCTCTCCCTGCCTGCCTCCACCATCTCTTGGGTTGGTAGTGTCCAGGTGTTCCTCATCTTTTTTATCGGCTCAGTCTCAGGGCGGGCATTTGATACCGGGTATTACCGGCCAGTTTTGTGGATCGGATGTGCAATGCAGATAGTGGCCGTGTTCGTGACGAGCCTCTGCACAAAGTACTGGCAGGTGTTTCTAGCCCAGGGTGTGTGTCAGGGCCTGGGCAATGGCCTCATCTTCTGCCCAACAATTGCGTCAGTGTCAACATACTTCACCACAAAGCGGACAATCGCCACCTCCACAGCTGCAAGCGGTGCTGCAACCGGGGGAATTGTCTTCCCTGTCATCGCAGAGAGGCTACTGCCTCGAATCGGCTTTCCCTGGACTGTTCGGGTTATGGGCTTCGTGGTGCTGGTAAATGCAGCGATCGTGCTGTCCACCACCCGAACGCGACTCCCACCACACAAGACGGGCAGAATAGTCGAATTGGCAGCCTTCGGGGAGCTACCATATCTACTATTTACCGTCAGTAATGTTCTTCACGCTCTGGGCGACATACTTTGCGTATTACTATGAGAGTTGACCTTTGCCCTAATATGAAGACTTTCTCTCCCCTTGGGGTTCCATGCCGATAACGGCCAATAGGTTCGTCCATACGCCCTAGATAACCTACATGTATCACAAGCAACATCGTATAGCATTCTTCTTATCTTCAACGCCGTTGGAATCCCAGGTCGCATCATTCCAGCCCTGCTTGCAGATCGCTACTTCGGTGCTATTACGGTACTCATTCCGGTCATCTTCCTTGCTGGTTTAAGTGTCTACATATGGCACTCGGTGCAATCCCTCGCATCTGATATAGTCTGGATTGTTTTCCTTGGATTCTTTGGTGCCAGCATTCAGGGTCTCTTTCCCTCGACTCTCGCTAGTCTGACACAAGATTTGAGTAAAAGCGGCACCAGAATTGGTATGGTATTTACCATTATCAGCATCCCATGCTTGACCGGACCTCCGTTGGCGGGCAGGTTGATTCAGGTCGGGGACGGGAACTATATTGGGGCACAGGTGTGGGGTGGCACATGTTTGCTTCTAGGGTGTGGGATTCTCTTTGCGGCGCGGGTAGCGAGTATGGGGTGGCGGTGGAAGCCTGCTGAGCAATAGTTAATTTTAGAAAAGGTCTCAAGTGGACAAAACGGTGTAATGCTTGTATACACTCAACCGTCCAAGCCGTCCAAACCGTGGCTTACCCGTTCACTTAGTACATGAGATTGAAGCCCCTTTCAAGACACCAAGAAAGGCTCGGTGACCAAATGAAATGTCACTAGAATTCAATTTACCCGAATCTTGTTGGATTTTTTTTGTTTGCTTCTCCACCGGTTCTCTCAGTCCATTCAAGTTCCCCGCCATTTGCAAAGTCCAGCTATATCCTTCTGACGCCAATTTACACGCTCTGACAACATTCTAACTATGCCTTCATTCGATCATCACCCGGAGCTAATTCTGGTCATTATCAAATACACGCCATCAAAAGGCGACGTCGCTCATCTCGCACAAACATGTCACGGTCTTTATGGTTTGGTCATGCCTGAGCTTTATCGCCAGAGCTACCGGGATAATGAGGCACAAACTCTTTACTGGACAGCGAAGAATGGTCACAACCAGGTTGTGCAATTTTTCCTGGAGGCTAATGGCCATCTCGGATTAGAAATATTATTGCCACATATGAACGATGCGCTTTCACTGTCCGCGCAGCGGGACAGATAAGTGTTGTGAAAACTCTCCTGTCTATGGAAGGAGTTGATCCAGATAACATTGACCCATACCGACGAACACCGTTGTCATATGCCGCACAAGGGGCACACCTCAATATCGTCAGATCATTACTGGAGACAAACCGTGTCAATCCGAATTCAAAGGACCGAGCTTTTAGGCAGTCGCCACTGATCTAGGCAGTGCGAGGCCCACAGGACAAATTAGGCTTAGAACTTGAACCGGCGGCGACTGGAATGCCATCTTTGGAAGACAGTACAGTGATATTCGAAATCAGCTTTACCGTCAATCTCTCTCTTTGTTCCCCAGGCCCCAACCAAACCGCACTAGTCTTGATTAGGGTATCTTTCCGCCAGCCTGATGTACCTTCGACGAGCTCGCGTAAATTACAGTAAATTACCTCTATTCATTTTGGCATATTCTTGTAACTCATCTACCACCCGTCACGATACGAACGGTGCAAATGAGAGGTTTCTTTGTGAGCTACATATATAGTACTGTACATCAATCTCCTTACGGGCTCCAGCGTCCTGCTGATGTTCGTTACTTACTAACCTTAACTAACATGCTGATGACATAATACACCGATCGTGCAGTACGAACTTGGAATGCCATCTTCGCTCGTTTCTTTGGCCTTGTCGCTAGCCAGATTGGGATGACACCGTACAAATCACGGCTAGACTTATACTACGAATCACAATAAATTAGGCCTTCAGAAAGAGCGAAATGTTGAGGTCTTGTTACCCAAGTACTAGCCATCAAAGCCAACGAGGATTCCATCCCTTGCATATACATTGCGTATGCAACGACCCTGGCCATTTACGACACGCTCGCAAGAGTAAGGGGAATTAAGCGGCGATCATAGTTGGATAGCCGCCCAATAAGTTTATATGTCGCATGTTTAGTTTCTCATTCCTCGTTCGCCCTGCAGTTGTCAGTCACATTCTCGCAGATTCGGTCAATTTGATTAAGGCGCCTGGATGTTTTGGACGACTGGAGACTGAGCTTTCGGTGTTGCCGAGAACAGTAAAAACAGAAGTATAAATGGGACGAAGCCTCAGGGAACACTGAACCCAAGCTGATCCATTTTTTTGACTAGTTACCAATGACAGTGAGCGATTTGAAATCTTCCGAAATGGCTGTACTGCCTCCAGACAAGCCACCTCTTGGGCATGACTATTCTTACACACAAAGAAAGCTCAGTCTCCAGTCATCCAAAACATCCAGGCGCCTTAATCAAATCGACCGAATCCGCGCGAATGGCGTTGGCGACCACATAGCGCTACCACAATTGGTAGTTTGTGGAGACCAATCCGCAGGGAAAAGTTCGGTCCTTGAAGGAATTAGCGGCATACCATTTCCTCGACAGGATGGGCTTTGCACTCGATTCGCAACAGAAATCATCCTTCGACATGAATCCACAGATATCAAAACCACGGCAACTATTATACCTCATTCTTCCAGAAGTGAAGAAGAAAAACGTCTCTTGAGTGCTTATCACCAAGTTTTCCACGACTTTGCCGAGCTGCCAAATATCATCGAGCAGGCGGCGAAGCTCATGGGGGTGCGTGGCATTGATGCACAGGCTGAGGGTCCGGCATTCGCAGCCGATGTTCTTAGGCTTGAGCTCGTTGGCGATACAGGCCTTCACCTTACCATCGTGGATCTCCCTGGGCTCATATCAGTCGCTCAGTCTGAAGAAGATGTGAAGATTGTCGAGAAGATGGTGGACTCTTACCTGCAACACTCTCGGACCATAATTCTTGCAGTCATACCGGCAACTAGCGATGTTGACACGCAGGGCATCATCCAGCGTGCGAGACGTTTTGATGAAGATGGTATCCGGACCGTCGGAATTATTACCAAGCCAGATCTCATCAACGCTGGCACGGAGGCACGTATCGCTCGGCTTGCTAAGAACTGCGACCGCACCAAACTCACCCTTGGGTTTTTTATCCTGAAGAACCCCAGCCCGACGGAGCTGAAGGCAGGCATGACCACAGAAGAGCGACGCAAGACAGAACTGGCGTATTTTTCTACCGAGGTTTGGAAGAAACAGGGGCTGGATCCTTCTCGAGTTGGAGTCGACAAGCTGCGATGTTTTCTGGAAGAAATTCTTGACAGCCACATCGAGCGCGAGCTACCCAAAGTCCGTGACGATATACGACGTCTTCTCCGGGAGAAAAACGAAGAGCTCGATGAGCTTGGAGCGGAACGGAAGTCTCCAAACCAGATACGCATGTTCCTGACAAAGATCACCACTAATTACTACAATGTCATTCAAGCTGGCGTTGATGGATCATATGGCGGCCGTGATGCAAGCTTCTTTGAAATACGAGACGGGCGACTCTCAGCTCGACTCCGTGCTGCTATTCATATAGAAAATGAAAAGTTCTCTGACGATATGAGGCAGCATGGCGAAAATCGAAAAATCGTCTCATCGGACCACCCAGACGTCGGCAAAGACAAAGGTGGACAACATTTCGTGACAAAAGAAGGGATGCTTGACTGGATTCGACAGGTATGTTTTTATGCTTCCGGATACCTTTGAATCATATCTAATCAATGCAGGTATATGATCAAACGAGGGGCCAGGAGTTACCGGGCAACTACAACCAAGCTCTCCTGGCGGAGTTATTCCATGTGCAATCTTTGCGATGGGCTGAAATTGCTCGAGAACATATCTTTGTGGTCTCCAAGATCGTTTTTCAGTTTGTAAATGCCGCGCTGGCTTACGCTATCAAAGATGGGAAGGTTCGTGAAAATATTGGTCGCCTAGTGAGCACCACGTTGGAGGCCAATGTTGAAGCAGCGGAACACGAACTAGAAAGAATACTTCAAGACGAGACTCGACAGCCAATCACGTACAATCATTATTATACGGACAATATCCAGAAAGCGAGAAACGAAGCCTCGAAGAGCCTCATTGAGGATTCTGTGCGTGATGCGATCCACAATGATTGGGACGGTACTCTCCACTTGCGGGACACAGAAGAAGACTGTGTTAGATTGTTGTCATCCCTCAAAAAGCGTGTCATCGTCGATATGAAGGAGCAAGCATGTTCTGAAGCAAAGTCCGACTTGACTGCTTATTACAAGGTCAGTTTTCGGCGTTTTTGAGTGGAAATCGCACTGACCATTCATCTACTAGGTTGCACGTAAAACATTCGTGGATAATGTCTGTCGACAAGTCATTGAGCGACATATCCTAGCCCGGTTGGCTGATGCATTTAGTCCTATGACGGTTAGCTTGTATTCGGAAGAGGAGCTTATCAACTTGGCGATTGAGTCTCCGCAAATTTGCCACCTTCGTTCGGATGCTCGCAGGCTTCAAGCTGCTCTAGAGCAAAGCCTCCGTGATTTAGCTGGATAGGGTGATTGAGAGTTAGTCTGCTCTGGCGTGGTTTTTTCCTTGGGGGTTTTCCCACGTTCGCTACGCGAATGCGGGAGCAAATGTACATACGGGGCGTTTTTGCTGCATTTTTTGATGAAGAACCACTTTAATTGTTTGTGGTGTACCCATGTGCCGGCCGCGTTTCATTTCATTGATTTCTAAAAGATCTTTTGAAACGAAATTTTCAGAATTACTGCGGACTTCAAGCCGCAGTTTTGAGATCATATTGCACTGTCGTAGTTAAAAGAGGTAATTTTACTGTAATTTACGCGAGCTCGTCGAAGGTACATCAGGCTGGCGGAAAGATACCCTAATCTAGACTAGTGCGGTTTGGGTGGGGCCTGGGGAACAAAGAGAGAGATTGACGGTAAAGCTGATTTCGAGTATCACTGTACCATTTCTGGGGCATGGCAAGACTCAATGGATATCTCTTTCGAATCAACGCCGCCGAGACAGATCAATGTGCATGTGGACAGGCAAGAGAGACCGTGGACCATTTCCTGTTTCGATGTCGGAAGTGGGCCGCACACCGGACGCAAATGCTGCAATGTACCCACATTCATCGAAGTAACATGTCCTTCTTTCTGGGTGGAAAGTCACCCTCCGATGACCGGGACTGGACGCCCGATTTGGAAGCAGTGCGAGCCTCGATACGGTTTGCCATCGCCACGGGCCGACTTGACGCCACTTGACCCTGCCGACGAAGTGATAGAATAGCTCTTCTTACTAACCCCCAACACCTTGTGACAGACGGTAGACGCGCTTCAACTGCCGAGGATAGGATGTTGAACACTTGAAGAAGCGTCTTCAAGCTAGTCTACTAAACGATACTAACCCACAGGGACCAGCTATGAGATTGAAAGCCGAGATGACATAAACTGAAAGAAATCTGGTATGGGCTCCAAGGAGGCACAGTATTAGCTAAAGCATGTATATTTAGATCAGTGATAGTTGCCCTTTCGGTTCAGCCGCCGGGCGTTAATGAATTGTGTGTGTGTGTGTACCATTTCTGTCATACAATTGCTTCTTGAAAACGGTGCCAACATCGATTCTCTGGACTATGTTATCGAAGTGCCCTATACTGGGCTACCGCCAGGGGTTTTGGCTCGATTGCCATGGTTCGCTTGCTTCTTCACAATGGCGCAAGCCCAGATGGCCATGTGAGTGAGAAACAGCGAGCGATGGTGAAATCAAATTACCTGATCGGCTTGCAGGAGCGTGGCGAGCATCTATCTTCAGTCAGGGGAATCCGCCTCCCTTTGTCACTCGCGGCATGGAATGGGCATGATGAGTTGGTTAGGACCCTACTTGAATATAATGCGAATATAGATTGTACGAGTATCTCTGGTCTGATTCAGAATCGACACCCCCTTGCGTGCGCTGCGGAAAAAGGTCATTTGTCGATTGCCCGCCTGCTCATAGAGCGAGGGACATGTCCGGAGTCACGGGGGAACCCTCTCCAATGTGCAGCGAAGAATGGTCATGCGGAAATGACCCAGATTTTGTCGGATGAGATGATGCATCACTATTCCCAAGTTACAGACAGGGTGGAAAGAGGGGATGGGAAGGTTGAGACACGGGTATGCTCACGAAAGGAACA